TTGCATTTGTAGTTTGAAATTCTTTCAAGAAAGGTTCTGCATCTATTCCGTAATATCCGATTTTAAATGGCACAAATCCTGAGCACTTGGGCATGAACAAAGAATATAAACGATAAAACTGATACCGAAATAAATTAGTCTTAAAAAGATTAACACTCATGTAGAGGACCTATCATCATCAAACACTAATAGTGACTGATCCACAATCAGTGTCACGACATAAACTAGATTGACTTGCAAAGGTAAAGGTTCTTCACAGCAACCTATGTCCAACAGGCGTGATGCAGTATAAGAAAGATCCACTGTGTGATGTTATGCAGAACTCTAACAACTGCGCAGTTGCCACCGGTAAATAATTGAGTAACATATAAAAGACATTCTACAACAGCATCCTGGAGTCAATTATCGCGTGGAAACACATCATATTTTACTGAAGAATAACGAAATGTCCAAAAATCAGAAGCGTTTTTAATACTTGCTCAGATATGTAACTCCTACAAGAATTAGAAACTAAACAATCAAAAATATGAAATGCTTGACCCAGAAATGAAAATGTACAGCTAGAAATGCAATCCTATACAGCTTAAGGCAATCAACAGAACTAGGACCTAGATGCAGTAATTGGGATCTTTGGGAACGCCATAGTCAATACAAGTCAATCAGATGACTTCCTGAGCATGAAATGATAAACGGCAGCATTTGAAATGATGTATACACTGCTTCCCATTTGAGCAGTAAGTCAAATGATGAATAAGAAGATTAATAATCACCTCTGTGAACTCCTGATTTGAAATGGAATCAATGGATACAACCTCTGTTTTGCTCAAATTTAAAATCTCAAGAGAGATATCTGTCTTCTTTTTCCCCGTTTTGTATTTTTCTTCAGCCCTGCTAGTTCCTGTATGTACGTACCCATTGGTCAAAGTCAAATTCTATCCCCAAGTATAAGGTAAAACGAGAAAACAAAACAGAATATTTTACCTATAACTTGAACAAGTCTATACATGTCTTTTCTTAGTCCAGCACCAGAAATTCTTATTCGGACAAATGAGCCAACAACCTTGTCGTTGAATTCTGTATCATCAAGCAACTCTTCCATTAAGTTACGACGTAGGTATACTAAGCTAATATTATGGACATCAATAGCTGCATAGTCGTCAAGATTGCTTTGATGCTCTCCCTTCCCAACTTTTTTACGTGATTTCTGCTTCTTATCAGAACCTGTTTTCAAAACAGAGTTACTATTCCCCTCATTATCCATCTGACTAGATTCAGGATCCAGAACACTCCCTTGATTATCATCTGTGACTACCAGAGATGTCTCTTTTGCAAGGAAGTGAGACTCAAGGAGTTTTAGCATTTCAAAGTGACCCACACGAGCTTTACCAAATAGATTTTCAAGTCGTGCATCACAAATGATTTGGCTTTTTCTACGAGGATCACGAAGATTATTTTGTTTGATATATTCAAGTAAAAGAGTGTGAACATCAAACTGACACATGACAGATATATCCCCTTTCCTCATATGTGCCACAAATTCCAACAGTTCTTTAGATGCCCACTCAGAATCCACTGGAAGAGATGCATTTTCTTTATCAGGTAAGCGGACAGCTTGTTCTCCATTGTAAGCTGCCTTGGATGATTTTTTAACCTTTTTCTTTGCAGATTTACTTCGTTGATGATGCCCTGAAGAACTGTCAGAACTTGAATTCAAATCATCCTTAGCATCGTAAGGTTCATCTAATAGATCGTCATTACGAGCTGAAGATCCCTTCAATGGATTTTTAGCCCTGGACACCTCTTCTAGAGTTATTGATAGCTTTCCCTTCAGATCTAACCAATAATCCTTGAAGAGATACTCCCAACTACTCCTGTCATCAAAATTAACGCCAGCCTGAAATTTTAAAAGAAAAGAAGGAAATTAGCTCAATGAATTTCAAGACATCAGGAAACATGGAAACTTTTAACAATAAATAATGATGAAATTAGACTGAACAAGTCAGACGACTGCATCAAGAAAAGTTTGAATCTCCTACAAATCTTGTGGCTCTCAATGATGCCTAATGTCATAACTGAGTTTTTAACTCAAAAAGTTCAGAGTCAATTTCTCTACAGGCTATGAGGTCAGAGTTACAAAACCTCAAAGCAAAAGATCTTCAAGCCATGAAAACTACAGTCACAAACAGCAACTCTACAGGTTATGAAGATCAGAGTCATCAAATCCCCCCCGTGTGACATTATAAGTCATAAAAAACATTGGGTGGGAAACCAATTTCAAGCCAGATAAGACCGAATCAGTTTTAGTCACTCTCATTAGCGACTCAAAATTTTAGCAGCTCTAATACAAGGATAACTACATATAGGCTTCTCAAAACGTGAAAGTATATTTAATTACAAGTGTGTTTATCCAAAAAAAAAACATTCTTGTGCCTAACTGATAGGACTATTTACCAAGTGGGCTATGACGCAAATTCGACACTTTTTCAAGGATAAAAGGGAAATCAACTGTCGTTAGAAGAAAGAAAAACAGTGAAAAATGCACTAATTATGACAATATAAGAAAAAAAACATAAGCCTACGTGCTCCTATAACCTTCTAAAGAGATGAGATGATAAGATCAGCAAAACACAAATAAAAGTAAAAATTTTCTTCCTTTTAAAACCTACTCAACACCGTAGATTCCTAATTACTGGGAAAGGGCAGTGGCAGGTCCATTTCTACCAGAAATTATGGATATTGGTGAAAATTTGGCATAACCCATATCATCCTATCATGCATGAAGATAGAGGGGAGGCCAAAGACAAGCCATAATAGAAGACGAACTTCCTTCTGGACTTCAGCAGAGACACAGGTCGTAAAGAATGCAGACTCTTTCCTTCCACAAGCCCAATATCTGTCACGGAGGGTTGAGGACGGAGATTGTGTTTGGAGATAAGCCTGGGAAGACCTTCAAGATCAGCGACATAGTATGTCCACTTTCTGATTATTCCAGATGTCACAGCTTTAGAGAGGCAGTTCGTGAGTAACCTTAGGTCCTTGATTGAGATGGCTGTCAACAATGGACAGAAGCCTATCTTTGAAAGATAAAGTGGTCACAAAAGAACAAGGTTCAAAGCTTACTCCCCTGATACCATGAAGTAATTGAGGAAGACAGATGAAAGAAGAAGAAAAGTGAAAAAACTCTTATTCCGGATGTCCTTGGGGGAGTGAATAACTTCTGACAACCAGATCATCCTGGTTAGGTTTTAAACAAATTCCAAAAGGACCAATGTATACATGTAAAAATGTATATGCAAGCGCATACAGGTCAAAGTAAGAGGAAAACATGTTTTCACAATAGTCCCAAAACTTAGCCTCCTACATTGATTATCCGGAAACCACAGAAATAGAAAATAGTCAACAACAGGACTAATATTCCTTCAAATGCTAGACGAGTTTAAGATAAATGAAGGTAAAAGCCTCCATCTAGATTTGAGTGCTTCTCATTTTATTAGACACTTCACAAATCAACAGATAACATCTGAATAATTCATTGCCCACTTCCATAACATTTTAGCTGGGATAGGCTCAACAGATATGCTACTTTTAACCAAATCAAGTCCCCAATCCCACAACCCCGCACAAACACACAATAAATACCCGTTTATCATTTGCAGAATCAGTCCAAATGTATCAAAAACGGTCCTTGCCTATCTGTAGTATGATTAAAAATAAAAAATAAAAAATTATAAGGGTTTCAACCTTTTTTCAGGAAGCTTATCGTCCTAAAGAAAGACAGCATATACGAGGACATGCGGGAGGACCTCACTATTTAAATAGAATCCATCTGTCCCTCCATAAAATCTTAAACACATTTGCTCATATAAAAGTTGATCCCAGAAGCATAAATCCTAAGCCAGAACTAAATAGAGCTCAAAATCTTGTTCCACCCTTCAGGTTCAGGTTCTTTAAAATAAATAACATCATTTATCACCCTAGAGGAAGCATAAGCAAAAATCGGGTTGATTGCCATTTTAGCGGCTCAGGTCTAAAGCCTGACAATCTAGCCAAAACAATTAACTAAACATCCAATTAGTGGCTCAAAAAACATAATCAATCAAAGATATGGTAATTTTAATTTAGAGATAGAAGAAAGTCATGTTGACAAGTGAATATACGTAGTATTATGGTCAGATTCATGAAATGGACTTCTAAGTTAGAAGCTATTCATAACAGTTTCTCAGGTAATCATCATTCCCCAGTTGGTTGAGGGCAGCTAAATCAAAGAAGTTGGCGTACTTCCACACCACATATCAACCTTCACAAGCTGGTACAGTGCACATTGTGAAGGCAAATTTCCCAAACCATCTAGAGTCCAATGTAACAAGTTAGAAGGTAGCAAACTACCTTTTTGTTTATATGACTACAGCCAAGCAACCAAGACGCAGACCTCAAGTTATCATTGTCTTTGGAAAGAGTCAAAACAAAATAGAAGACCAGACTGTTTTGAAAAATAAAATACATGACCTTCTCTAAGATAACAACAGTAGAAAGAACGGATCAATAACCAATTAATCTATTAATAGGTTGATGAATGATGATAGACTTGAAAAAGAAAATGCATTAACATAAAGGAAAGGAGATTCCCCACACCTCTCTCTTTCTCTCTCGTTCATCCGTTTCTATCAGCATCACAGTACTCTTGCAAGTTTCACAGAATCCTTTGTTGCCTCTAACACAAACAAATTGTGCTTCTTTAATGCAAGATTTGCACAAGGAATAAGTGCATGTAAAGCACATATAATGGGCAGCTTTCTCGCAGATGCTACATATGTGCCAACCTGGATGCGCAATCAAAGCCAGATTATCAAATGAAATGAAAAGACAAACCGGAAAAAAGTAGTAAATAAAAAATAGAATCAACAGGAGCACACAGCATGACTAAGAAAAAAATATCGGAGGCTTATTTTGTAGAGTATCTCACATCCTAATCCTTCTCTTAGCTATCAGATGACACAATTTTAAGTGATAGCAATGCCATCAGATGCTGGGACAATTGTCCACAAGAATATGCAACCATTCTGGGTTTCGTTCAGTCAGCCAAAACAATCTTAAGAACTTATTATCACTAACTATAATCTAAGTCTGCTCATAGAAGAGATGGTTTAATTCTGTATCTCTAAGATGCTCTAAGCGTCTGACTAATGCTGTTCACATTAATAACGGCCTATATTGGAACTTGAACTTCAATAAAACACAAACTTGTCCACCTAAAAGGATTATTGACTGCCATATAAACCTCTGGTCAGACAAGCAATCCGATTATCTGCATACATTCATAATCTGCACAGATTTCAAGTCCATCTGATCACAATCTCAGAAGATCTAGAGCATCAATTCATCTTTGTCTCCCTACCAATTCACTTTGGGGTCCCTTCCCTCCCCACTCCAAATAAGAATACAGATAAACTTTTGTTTTTTTCATCTTGGAACAGGTTTCCATAATTCTACCGGGAAGGTTTCCTTAAGGTAAAACTTCATCCGAAAATTCTTCACGGTTAAGACCCCCATGCCACGATAGATGGGATGCAATCTTTCACAAGTTTGAAGGAAATCCATTGTAACCCGATCTTTGTCCAGTATTACCGAAGAGCATGTGAAATAATGCTAATTTAAACTAATTTTGCGATGTATGTCCTAAAAATAAAAAATCCCCCTAGAATGTGTTGTTGGGACCCAGACTACTAGCCAAGAATATTATACCAATTTCACCAGGAGTAACATCAAAACACAACCCATAATTTAAATGTCTGTATACCCGCCAAAAACCCATTTTGCTGATAAGAAAATCAGGTATGAACATACACATCCTCAAAGGCAGGACAGAATGAAGACTTATGATAAACTTAGACCTGTTAAAACAATTAGATCCAACAAATAATGAAGAAAAATCCACTCCAACATCGAAATCAGTCCACCAATGTCACCATTCTTACAAAGAAATGTTTTTTAAAAGACTTTCCAGCCTCCAATCACTCCAATCCAAGTCCATAAAATTTTAGTTTTCTGACTCCCTTTTTCTTTCATATTCCTAGTTTATCAGATAGATGTCAACAAAACGTTTTCCTTTTTGTGTTCAACCATGCTTTTTCTCTTCAATAGATACATTAAAAAATATAATATAATATATCAAATCCATTAAAAAAATTGGGGTAGGATAATTACTGCGATTCTAATGTTATAAAATGCTTACAAACTCACAAAGGTGACTAATTATATTTAAAACTTGAACGAGGACAAAAAGGGAGTAATACATTTGAAAGCGTTTTAAGCTCACAAGTATCAAGACCGTGAATGCACCACAACTTGGTTGAGAATATAAAAAAGCCAATCACTATGAAGTGATTTAATGGTTACTTGAATACTTTCCATAGAAAATTTACTACTGTATTTCACCATGAAACAGAGCATTTTTGCATAATTTCATCTCATTACCTTTCTTTGACATCTTTTTCTTCCACTATCCTTTTTAGACACTAAAGAATTTCAAATCTAAATTTATAGTAGGTTAGTAAATTTAGGAAGATAATATTTGATATAATCTTAAAAAAAACTACCAAAGACAATTATAAGCTATAATAAGTTATACTATTCACCGTTATTTCCGCAATATCTTAGAAAATATTTTCCCTTATTTCATATTTCACTACAGAAATTTAACCTCGTGCCGAATAATGGGCTCCATTAACAAGAGAACATTTGAATCTACATTGAGGAGGTTTCAAAGAATAACAAAGCATCTATCCTATTGTCAAAGCCAGCCAGGTCAAGGGTCCTCGCAAACAGAAGTGAAGCAAAACAGAAGGACAAGCCAACCAACACAGCCCTTTGTGTCTCACTGGAGAGATAGAAGGTCAGCAGAAAATTGGCACAGAAGGGGCATCTGAGATCTGATGGCAGCGGAGAAAACAGGAAGGTAGCTGTACAGAGCATCAGATTTATGCAAGAATCACCGACACCTAGGAGAGTTAGCTTCTTGCTTGTTAGGTTTAACTTTTACTTTGACCCACCTTCAATCAAAGAACGTAACAGAAAGATGTCAAAAACTTTATCCCCACAATTTTTTTCCTTGTATGATTATTAGATCCACCAAGCACAAAGATTTATCTTATTCACTCTCCATCTGCATTAGCTCCAAAATCTAAAACTGTTAGACTCATATCATTACGGTTCTTCATTAAATTTCTTTTTCAGTCATCGCCACCTAAACTAAATAATAAATATAAATAAGGTCATGGCCCTCCATTGCTCAATTTTTTAACGTCTCGTCAATTTAGATATCGACCAACAAAAGATCTAGATGAAGAATTGAACACGGCAATCAATGCACCACTTTCCTCTTATCCAATAACATAGTACCAAAAGTTTTGTTAGTTGACACAATCAATAATTATCTGACCAATGGCATATTACAACTATCATTAATATACTACTCCAGTATTTGAAAACAAATTGAATATTTACAATTAAATTTGATTCAGCAACTGGTTCCATAAAATTATTGTATTTAACTACTGAGAAAATTTAGTAGGTGTAGTCGTCATTTCCTAAGTCAACCAAAATTAATTTCAGTGCATCATCTGGAACAAAGAAAAAAAAAAAAAGAACAAACTCAACAAGAAGATGTCAAAATATGCCCAGGAATGGAAACAGAACTTACCACAGTTCCATCTACCCTTTGAGCGGAAGAATGCCTCATCTCGATTTACACATGAAGGATGATAAACTTTGGGACAACCCCTGAAAAGAGCAATGAACAATGAATAAGAAGTCAAAATACGAAAAACCCTCCACAAGCCTGAAAGTTGGCTGGTACTCCAGATCTCCCTCACCTACGGTCACAGACAACAAGGTTCCCTCCATCAAAGCAGATGAAGCAAACATCCTCTTCCTCCTTCTTCTTTGTTGTAGGCACTCTTCCGGCCTGGGCCTTAGGAGGCCTTCCTCTCTTTTTCCCTCCTCTGCGACTACCATCCTCCAATGCGGCTTCGTGATCTTCCGGCACACCCATCATCGATGCAGCCATCTCCTCTTGTTCCACATCCTCCATGCCATCGTCTACAGCAGACATAGGAGCAACCAAACCCATGTCATCTTCCATGGACACATCTGCATCAATGATTGACTGGGAGGTCTGTTCATCTTTAATCTTAGCCACGTCCATCCTCTGTGGAACGGCTTTCTCCCCCAGGGCCTCTTCTATTTTGGGTATCGGCCTCAAATCGTCTGATGGCTCTGTCATCATGGATGATGGCTTCACCTCCTCTACTGCCTCTCCTATTGTGGTTCTTGCCACCACTGGCCCCAATGTCTCCAACATTCTGGGTTTCACCTCCACCTCTACAGCTTCTGTCATTGTGGCCGCTGCAACCACCTCCTCCACTATCCCTACCATGATGGGTTTCAGCTCTGCCTCTACTGCCTCTCCCCTGGTGGTTGTCAAATATGTCTCTGTTTCCAATCCCTCCGATTTGGTGGGTGTCACCTCCTCCTCCTCCTTTGTCACTGCCACTATAGGTACTGATTCCACTGCCTCTGCGGTTATGGGTGTCACCTCCACATCCTTCACTACTTCTACCATAGTGTGTGTGACCTGCGCATTCTTCACTGCCTCTACTGTACTGGGTCTCACCTCCACCTCCTCCACTGCTGCCTTATTTGTATCCAGAACATGCAATGAGTAGACAGACGGTACTTCCCCTGCAGCCACCCCAGAACTAGATGGGAATGACGTTGTGGTTGGGGACTCAAAGAGTTGCATACCTTCCATATTGTGATCGGAAATTCCCTCAGTTGGTGCTTTTAAACTTTTGGAAAGGACTCCCTCCATCAACTCTTTCCTCACTCCCTCGTCCTCCTGCAGGTCCATCTGTGTCTCACACCCCTCCACAATATCCAAAACAGGTAAAAGAACTGTGGAGCCCACCTTCTCTTCCCGTGATTCCCCAGGCACAGAGGGAAAGAGGAACGGGGCTGGGGATTCCGTAACTTGCCCATATCTGACCTCCATGGCAGCAAGTACCTCCTCCGTTGCCTCAGCACAACGTTTAACTACTCCCTCCTCCATCACCTCCGTTGTCACTCCCCTCGCCTCCTCTGCCTGAAAATTTTGCAGATGCTTCCGCTCGTCCTCGTCAAGCGCATCATCAGCAGGCAAAAGGGCAATGGAGGGCGACCGGTCTTCCCCAGATGCCCCAGAGAAGGAGGGAAAATGGACTGTGGGAGGGGGTCCGGGAGCTTCACCATTCATCTCACCGTCAGCAGCAATTCCTTCTTCTGTTGCCTCTGCGCAGTGTGAAACTACTGCCTCCAGCATCACCTCACCCCTCACTCCTTCCCCTTCCTCTTCCAGCTGATGTTCCTGATTTTTCTGATCGACATTCTCCACGGCATCATCGACTGGCAAAAGGATTTCAGAGCCTACCTTCTCTTCGGATGCCCCAAGCAAGGAGGGAAAGGGGACCGGAGTGGAGGATTCAGAAACTTGTCCATATTTTACCTCAACGGAGGCAATTCCCTCGTTTCTCACCTCTACACAACGTGAAGCCATTCCCTCCTGCATCATACCCGCTGCCACCGCCCCTTCTTGCTCCTCAACCCACTGTTCCCCAGGCCTCTGCTCAGCATATCTAATCACATCATCGGACGCCGTAGCCAAAAGATTGGACTCCATAGCCTTTTCCTCTAAAATCGTCTCAGACGCAAGGGGAAACGTGGCCACTGCAGCCCGTCCATGTAACTCCGACTCTTCTGCCCCGTAGACAGTAGTTGTTTCTTCTTCCACCTCTCCCCCAGGCGCCACTCCCCTCCCCTCATTCGGGCGATGTTGTTCATGCAGCTCCTCCAAGCAAGGCACTCCTCCCGCCGCCGCTGCCGCCTTGCTGCTATCAGAAGATAGCTCCTCGTGAGGCAGTCGTTCCCGATCTTGATTCCTCTCAGAGGCGCCCACGATCGACATCTCGTCGTCCTCATCCATTTCGAAGCCTTCTACTCCTCCCATGCCCTCCGCCGATGCTCCTCCAAAACCCTAGCTCCTCCCACCTCAGTTAGCCCCCGCCATGAGAGATCAAGGGAGACGCCTAACCTCCAAATGCGAGCGGTACCCCCTGCCCTAGCACGGGCGGGTAGAGCAACCCCCCATCCAAATCCCCGAAGAATAAATTACTGCACCTTCTCTTTCCCGCCTCCCCGCTCTTCCTCCTCCCGAAATGGAGTTGTTCCGAATGTATCTCCGACAGCCTCGAGGGTTACAGAGAAAGATACCGGCCGGCAGTGATCGCCGGAGGCAGCGGCGAAGTCGCACTCCTGAGCTTCTCCACGCGTGGGAGCGTACGCAGGCTCCTCCTGCTGCCCTACTCTTTCACCCGCCGCCGACGCTCGGCGGTGCGGTTCGATGGCGTTTATCACTAAACGGCAGGGGGAAGTCGAAGAAGATGAACCAGAATCACCAAGAAAAAGAAAAATAAAACGGTCATTTTATTGTCCGTGTGTGTCTGGGAGGAAAAGGGGGGGAGGGAGGGTTGGATGAGTAACGGGCCGGGCCAGGATTTTTTGAGACCCAACAAAAGCCCGAACGTTGTTTAGGAGGCCAAATCTTGGCGTGGCGACGAAGAAAACTACTAAAAAATGGGCTCTTTCTCGGACGACCCTACGCTCCCCGGCCCGGCCCAACTCTTCACTCGCTTTCAAGATAGAAAGGGAGAGGATATACTGCCACGTGGATGCTTGTGAGTCTGCCACGTACCGAGGCACCGTACGCCAACCATGTGGGTGATTATGAGATAGACACGTGGCAAAAACATTTGTAATTATTGTTTCCGCGGGAATATTTATTTGCAAGGGCCTATTTTCCTCTCGTTTAAAAGATTTTTTGCTATCAATGTTACCCTTTTTTTTTTCTAATTTGACGAAGACACTTCATGGTCAACCATTGACCGACCGAGCCCACTAAGCCCTGCCTTTGCATGTTTAGTACTTATAAGAGGGAGAGAGAGAGAGAGAGAGAGAGAGAGAGAGAGAGAGCACATCGTTTATTTACATGTTGGAGCAATAAAGTAACAAACATGAACATAAAGTCACTTTACATCATAATAACAGTGCGAGAGATATCTACGCCCTCTGACCAGTTCCTTTGAAGCCCCCGGGCCCTGTCCAATAATCATCAGAAGAAATATATATATATATATATATATTTAATTCAATACTTATCATTATCATTAAAATTAAGGGAAATAAATTTTGGAGCGTTAATGGGCCCACGTGTGCCCCACGTGGGTGATCCCTGGATAGACACTTGGCGAGGAAGAGAAGTCAAAACCCTACGTTTTTTTCATACGAGAAGGTGGTTGAAGAGAGGAAGAAAAAGTTAAAACCCCATTTTTTTCCGCCATTTATCTGAAATATGTGCTGCTATAATGCTGCGTTATCGGCCATCACTCACACTGGTTGACTTCAAGTAAGAGCATATATAACTAAAGATATACAGGACATAGGTCAACGTGTAGACTTACCAAAAATGGTTATGACTGGAATAGGGTCACCGTCGCTATGTACCCATTTTTCATCACCTGATGGGAAAATTTAGGGTGGGGGATCAGTGTGAGGAGATGAAGCAGAAAGATTGCGGCGGTGACAAAGTTATTAGAACATAAAAAAATAAAATTAAAAAAGAAATTACCTCAAATGCTACGTTCTGGTACCCATAAACGAACGTTGACCCGAAAGGATTGTTCATGGAGCCCTGTGTCTGGATGGCGGCACGGCCACCATCCCCAAGGATTTCCTACAAAAACAAAACCCAAAAGTCTCATCGCTGACTTTTCTGATCAACAGAGTTTGAAAGCAAAGCAAGCAAGCAGCAAAGAAAAAAAAAAAAGAATTTGGCACTCACGAAGAAAAAATTATATCGATGGTTTTTTTCAAGTAAATAGTTGTTTTTTTTTTAATATGTAGACATTGATAATATATGATTTCTTTATATTGCAAAAAATAGAAAGTTTTTAAGGAAGCCAAAGGTAATAGGATTTGAATTGCTGGCTGTCACTTTCAGGGATAAATTGATAAAAAAGATGCACAAGGAAGACGGCAGAGAAAGTCAACCTCAGGGGAAAAGGATCTGATTGCATAGCATTTAATCTGACTTTCTGATCAACAGAATTCTGTAGCAAAGCATGCAAGAAGTAAATAAAATAAAATAAAAATTGGCACTCACGAAGAAAAAATTGCATCGATGGTTATTTTGAAGTGAAAATCTTTACGAACAGAATTCTAGAAAAGGTCCTATCTTTTTAAAACTGCAGACTTTGATAATAAATGATTTATTTTATTGCAAAAAATAAAAGGTTTTTAAGGAAGCCAAAGGTAATAGGATTTGAACTGCCTGCTGTCACTTTAAGATGCACAAGAAAGACGGCGGAGAAAGTCAACATCTAATCTGCTCATCTGATACCATATTCTTAATAAGAATCTCATACCTTCACTTGCTCCCACTTTGTGCTCGGTGTGATGCAATGTTTGGCAGTGTTTACGGCCAGAAGTGCCGTTTCTTCTTCAGCTGCAGAAATAGAGTAAATATACTAAATAACCTGGCCACTGCTAGTTTAATGAATCCAATGAAACTTACCATCGGTTTCAATGAGAAAATTGCATTTTGTGTATGAATTGAAATCGGAATGCCCGGGGAAGTTCGTATGCAACACAAACTTCTTGATCTTATGCGTCTGCCAAGTGAGATGTGGAGAGCCTGAGATTTCTTGAATGAAGAACACTGGTCCGGGACGAACTTCGCAGGATGATGGGATTACCTGTCCGTCGAATAAGATGTCCAGACCGCGAGAGAAGAAGTTGTAGAAATAATCACCACAGAGAGTTCTACGAGGACGAGGATCGGAGGCGGAGTGAATAACCATTTGATCCACCTAAAAGTACAACGTCCATTAGAATCTACTGAAGATATTGACAATAACAGGAAATTCCAGAATTAGTAAGTGATATAAGAGCAAATATGAGGAAAAAAAATAAAAATGTGGGGCCTTGCATATTTTGAGAATCCCATAAGTTTACTTTAAAAAAAAAAAGAAGCCTATTTTGGAATCCATGTTGTTGGTTAAGTGAAGAGATTGAAGTCCTATGAGAGCAATAAGCCCCCATTAGTCGGACGTCCTCACCTGTTTCTGATGGATTCCACAAGGACGGCCCAGCTCAGTCCACACGTCCTATGACAAAAAGAGAGGAAGATTTTTGATAAAGGCACCATTTAAGTAAGAAGATAAAACCCAGTCGGGAAAGAACAGCAGGAAAAGCAATAGGATGAATAGTTTGCAGCTCAATCGAGCAGCTAAAAAGTTGAAATGCCAGAGAGAAGCATGCATGGAGTAGCTGTCAGCAACGCAAAAGTCAAATAGCAGGAGGAACGTGCCTGTGAAATTAGAAAAATAAAAGTCAATCATCTAGATTGTTAACAATGTTTTACAATGCTAAAGGGTTGTCTCTCTTGTTTTTCTGGGTCTTGGCTAATCAAGCAAGGCATGTAGCTTGCAACTTTGGGTAATAAACATGAGAAGAAGCAGGGTCCAACATAAAATGAAGCAAAGTGTACGTACCACAAAGTACAGCTACCTACATTTATACATAGAATAATATCATCAACCCAAAGTGCCGGATATCACAACAGCGGACATTGATCAAAGACATTAATTTACCACATCTAAAGAGCCAAATATCAGAGAAAATGTCATTTGGCAGGAAAAGTAGAACAGATAACTTGTGCAACATATGAAGCTGGTGATAGAGTTCTTGCCTGTGGAGACGCACCAAAAGGAATATGCTGACCTCCAACAGAAAACCGTATTCCCTCACCAAGCTTCAAAAATCCGATGAATCAGAAAGCAATAATAAACCAAGTCAGATTTTTTGTCACGGTAATGCTTAATTCGTAAAGGATGAGCTATATGGCCATTACCATTGATAAATTTCTACTGTGGCCTACCTCCACAGTGAAAAAATATTTCCCATGAACAAGGTATCTGTATTTATTTATGAGTAATCTGGGTTGGGGATTTACAGGACTGACCAGTGGATCGCACAGAAATTTCAGGAATTGGCCATACTCGGAAAGGTGAAACTACAGCATGTTTGTTCTAAGAAAGACCAACAGTCTACACCATAAATTTCCTATTCTGTCATGCGGCAAAAATTCCAATAACAGGTAAAACAGTTGTACAAGCTGATGAAAGGATGAGTGGCAACATTAATCCGCTTGCGAGAAATGTTTCCAACCCCATTAGGACCATCTAAGATGGCCTAGTCGGCTCTTGATTGAGCAGTTTAGGCAAAATGAAGCACAGATCTAATACCCTGGGCGATGAGAGTCAGATGCCTCATGGTATAAATATGACATAAGAGAATAAATATATATTTACCTGTGAAAAATTATATTTTTTCTTTTATGAAATTAGTGCCACATATTCAATATAAAAAAGAACAGGTGATTTACATGTGCGGGCCTTAGTATGCGCTTGAAAAAGCCCTTTGTAGAAAAACTCGTTCATGCTAAGATAGTGAAAATTATACTAGCCAGCGACCGAGTCAAAATCAGAGGGTTATCTTTCTGCAGAACGAAAAAGAATCCTAGCACAAATTCAATGACCAATCTTTCCACCAATCATCTTTTAAGCATTATTCTCATCGATTCTGTCTGAATAACACAATGTGTAGGACGCAAGTCACCAAACCTTGGGATCAACTTTGAGTACCCATTGTAGACATCATTTGAAGAATAGATAGCTGTTTTCAACTATCAGGTGATAACTAGCACACAACAAACATAATATCTAAGGAATCCTCCTAGCTCCGCAGTTGCACGAGATCTAAGTGCATCCCAAAAAATAAGATAAATTTATCACATCTGTGGAGTATTAACATAGAATCCCCCAAATAGAAACATGCATCTCCAACTTTGGGAAGTAACTTATGCTCAATACCTTCATCTGCAATGATATGACAAGATAAACAGTTCCGTATTAAACCCTCTTTGAAACTGGATAACTTCCTACATAGAATTATTGCCTAGCCATGAGACCAACCCCTCCCCTGTTAACTTGTTCAGGGTTTTTCCCAGGCATACACGAAGGCTACCACAATTAAACTGTCTTATACTCTTGTTTTTCAGTGAAAGCTCCAACTCCACAGGAAATCCTGCTTCATTTCAGGCAAAAAATAATCTGAGGAACATCAAATCTGGTCAAAAGAAGATCTCCAACCACATGGCAAGAAAACAGATTTTACAAGAAATGTTGGAATTGAATGATGTCACCAGTGCTTTGCAACTCACTGCAATGATAATGATATCTACTAGACCCTGCCTGTTAGTGCATATCAGACCATATTGAACTGAAACTAAAATTATGTTACAAAGATTGATAAGTTTCTAGACGTGAAGAATCCATAAAGCCATCTGAGCCGGTCAGTGCAAATCATATTCGGTTTGGCCATAATTTGATGAACTAGTCAGGACCCAGCTTCCACTTGATGCAGACTTGCAGTCCGATCAAGCAAAAACCACTTTGAATTGAATGGTCCACCAACAGTACGTTATATATCATTCACGTGCATGCATGAAGTCATACTCTAGTCGAGTCTCAGACTCAAGAAAGCAAAATGCGCAAATGTTCGCCCCATCCTCTGCCTTTCCTACCCAAGGCCATGTATTTAGAAGGTATTCCAGGGGCCTAGTTAAGTCCAGATAGAATGAGTAGCTATCTGCGACATGAGCAATAGTCCTTTGCCGGCTAATGGCATCTCCAGCAAAAGTCTAAGTTTTTCAAATAAAATGAAAAACACACAGTAAACCCCCTCCCTCTCCCACAAATGCCTTTTTCTCTTGTGGGCTGCATGAAAGATCAAAGGTAGCGCACACACGAATTTTGTTTTTCTTATTTCTTCGTTTTCTCCTGCCATCAACTTTTCCTTCCCTCTTCTTTCAGCATAATCTGCCAGTGAGCCATGACTGTGGTTCTAGCATATTATCCCTCCAACAATAGCAATAATCCCAGAGACTGGATGATATAAGTGGGATGGACGAACTTCTGGATGGATCTTTCCTCTTTGGATTTCAAGGGGAGGACAGCGGGGCAATACCCATCCTAAATAGGAGCAGCCATGGATGATTGAAATTGGAATCAACTAATATAGCATACCATGCTTCTCACTACACTGACGAAGGCCATTTGTTAAGTTCCAGTCGAGTAACAACTTAAGTGGCGTCCCCTTTCCCTGCCTTTAACTGCAAAAGTTGTGAAAGCACCCTCTTTTCAGGGACCAACATCCATGTCTCCATCTTGTCTGCCGACACTGCCATCTTGCATAAGCACCACCCACAATTCCCACGGGAATGCAGCAAGCTCTAAATTGAAAGTGATTCCATTGTCATTCCTTGAGGAGCAGCTATCTATTCCAGCTAAAAAGAACACTACAATGCAAGATATCAGAAATATTATCCCAAACAACATTAAACATCACACATCAAACAAGACAACTAAAAAAATTAACAGAATATGATATAATAACTATTATATAACTGCAAATGAAAAAAAGATAAAAATGAGAAGTACATTATGCACCTTAACTTGTAGTTCTTCCATGTAGAGGCTATCCAAAGGTAATGGAGGAGCTAAAGCTTTGTCCATCATGAACCCCACGCCAACTTTACTGTCAGAGGAGTTATCATATATAGATACACGACATGTAACAGGAGTTGTCCCATCAGGAAACTCCAGGGGCAATTCTGGTGCAACTGCCAATAACAAGGAAAACATTAGAGTTTTTAACTACCAGACTAGACATTATAACAAATCATACATACCATGAGCATACCTTCTCCATTCTGGCAGCAACTTGAATATTGAGATGGAATAGGGAAAGCAAAGGATAGTCCCTGATAATACAGAGATCAAGTAAACCACAAAAGAAGCACACAAAAGCAAATGAAGATGTACAGCTCTGATGGTAATTTTAGGAATACATACGGGGTAAAATAAAGTGTAAACGCCTCTGCTTTCATCGTAAATTCCAGGGAATGTTGGACCAAAAAGTGCATATACGGCCACAAAAGTTGCAAGCGTGGAAGGACCACTGAAAACAATAACTGGCATAAGATAACTAACAAAGAGGTAAAGAAGATAAGAAAATTATTACGACATAAATTTCACTAAGCCAAAGCCACTGTCATGTAATACAGACCCAATTAGATTAGTTGCATAGCGCATCTGCAATCGCTTGACATCATAAACTTCAATAAGCCGTAGCCTCTGGAAAACAATACGAATTAGAACAACATCACACCAAAAAAGCTCCTTACATAGAGTCAAGGAATTGATGAGTGACTATTTGTCGTTCGCTATTGCCAGAGTCATTGGTAAAAGTTTGCAGTAAATCATATGCATTACATCTATATAGTCGGAGAAGGACATTCCAGTAAACTAAATTTTACTTGAAACCTGTAAAATGAATCAGTATTGGTAGTAAAAGCAATAAAACCCCAAGAAGAAATACAATTTCTTCTCCTGAGTTTGTCGTGTCAAATTTTGTCTTGTCTTGACATGTTACTGCGAAGATGTGAAAATAAGAATATCTCCTGTATCAAAAAGTGATTGCAGATTCCATCATCCCACTAAATCTTTGTCTATGGGCATTAAAACATAACCAAAAATCATCATCGCTAAAGCAGATCGAGATGTCCATTGATGTATATTTTTTTTTACAATTCCTATTAAATAGAACTATATAAAGTCATTGAATGCAGATCCGCCCAGAGCTGAAATGATGAGGTTTGTGATGTGGGTGTGCTTCGTAGTCCAAATGCATCCCTCTTAAAGTTATTGAGTAATATCCAAAAACTTTAGTCGTAAGAGTTTGGCAAAAAAAGTAACGGGAATATACTAAAACTGGATCAGAACCATCAGGCTCAATTCCTACGTCCTATTCAAATAGGAATACGCATTTAAGCTTTAAAATTCGTTTTTAGGAGTCAAGGTGTAAGAGTTTGAATCTATTTCCTTAGGAACCTGCAGATGATCCCAATTGTCTATCCAAAGTGAATCTTTTGATCATGTCCTCAATATATATATATTGGAAAGCTGATAACAATATCCAATATATATATATATGTATATTTATATATCTATATTGAATTTCTAGGTACGGCCTATTCGCTAACCATTTAACAATTTGACACCTAGCAGAAATCTGGCATAAATTTCTTCTTATGTTATATTGCATCACATCCCAATTTGTAAATTAAAAATATGAAAACAAGATAAGATGTTTTAATTCCAAAAACAAGGCTCTGCCAATAGTATGAGCATAACAAATTTTCTGCTTCGTTTTCTTTTGCTATGGTAAAAGCTATCATCAAGAAAGTATACCTGTGACCAGGGATCAAAACGAAGGTGGAAACCATGGTCTGGAAAGCTGATAACAATGTCCAATTTTAGCGGTTCCTGCAAGAATAACCTAAAAAATCTGAGCAGCTCCAAACAAAACAATGATGCCATCCTTAAACTATGATAAAACTGGCTATGAGAAATGTGCATATATAAATAACTGTATCTATATTCTTAACCAATCATACGCCCAAAGCAGTTATGGAACACTTGTTCTTCTCAGTGCTGCATTACTTAATGGAAAGCACTTGATTAAAAGATTACTGATACTTCTCCCATTGCGTTCTCGTCAAGCACACCCATCAAATAAACAATGGATATTTACTAAAATGCCCATTAATAATATCACGTGCAAAATCCAAATACTGGATGTTTTCTAAGACCAAATACCAAACCTCATCAAGATACTTCACACGGACCACATCATAGATGTGGGGTTGCTGTTCAACTTGATGAAATGCATCACCTATGGGCATCCCTGCAGAAGATATGAAGCATTAAGATATCCCTTCCTGGAGGAAATAACTTATGTCAACGCAAAGCTCATAAGAAATCTAACAACCTACAAGAAAAACGGTTTTTCAGGTGGCATTCTACATTCTATGCAACTCAGATGTTGAGTCCGTTCATGCAAGTACTATGACGTACTAAGACGAAAATATTAAATTTAAACTACGTTTGGCAAAAATCTAATGTTGATTTCAGAAGATGCAATCATTAATCACGCCGCACATTTGAGCAGTACAAGTTGCAACATATGCACAAGAGTCATGATCAATACTTCATTTGCATATGATAAAAAGTTTCACACCATAACGAGGACAACTACATCAACCTAAAGTAATGCCACACTACAGAGATATGCTACGTTACAACACAAATAACTCTGGTTCCTCAAGTAATTGTGAGCCAAACACATTTTTCCCGTTTCTTTTTCAAATTCCATTCATGGATGCTAAGCATATTTTTCTTCTGTGCTTGTACGTGTAAATAAAAACCCAAATGTTCACATACAAGCTTTGGTAGTACATGTTCATAATGATTATGGATTGCATTTCATGAAAGCACGTTTACACAGAAAATTTCAAAATAAAATTGTCACTTCCATGTTTACCTAAGCCAGCAATGTTTTTTTTAAAAAAAAATTGATGCATCCAAGTGCAAAGACCATCATTTAGAAGACAGAAGTTAAAAAAATTGCTGTAATTTGGTGTATGATATAAAATCACATGATCTAGTACGGAAATCAGACACTTTGATATCGTGGCAGTTAAGGAACACATGTTCCAGAAAGGTCCATTCCAAAAGCAATCGTAGCTATTCAGCTTACGCATGAATGCCTTCCGAGTTAAGAGCAAGCGAATTTTGAATTCGTTGAAGGAAGGCCACTGCCTCTGATATTTACGAAAGCCAGACTAAAGGAGGATTTTTTAAACCAAAGGGTTTTTCTTAATATTCTACAGATTCTTTTGTAAAGGACGTCAAAATTAATCGGAATCATGGTATACATAACCTATATAATATGCAATATGTAATTAATTTTGATGCACATAAGCCTACGTTAGTCAACTTCTCGGCATTTTAAACTATGAGGTCATGAAAAATAGTTCAAATAAATATTCACTGATATCGCGAAAGCAAAACCAGGGAAATGACTTTCCAACTAGTGCGGACGGAGATAGGAAGTGTGTTTGTTGATACATAAAAATGGTTTGAATGCCGTAAAGTCTAACATCAGACTGAATTTTGGATATCAGAGCCAAAATCCTTGCTTCCGATGATGCAGAATTGTTCCGGTAAAATGACTTTTGCCAGATGCACACGTAGAGGAGAAGACGGATTGGTACCGAGAGTGAATGGCCCGAGCCCGAGCCCAGGCCGGAGGTCGAGTGTGATGGCCCCCATGGCGGTCCCTTCACACCTCCTCCTCGCCGGCGCCCCCGCTCCAGCCGCCACGATCCCCACCACCGACCTCTGGTGGATTAGGTGACGCTGCGGATGCTGCTGCATCGTTCCTCCTCTACCTTCTCGCCCTCTCCCTCCTCCACCTTCTCCCTCCTCCCTTCCTCCCACCCTCGCTCCTGCCGTGTCAGCTTCGTCTTGCCTCCTCCCCCACCCCGTCGGTTACTTGCAGAGCCTTCTCCTTTTTCTCCCAGTTGTTTTAAGCCCCGAGAAGCCGAGTTCGGCAACATCCCCTTCAACGCACCAACAACTTTCATTATTTTGAAAAATACATTTAATACGTTTAATTACATAAATACTCTCTTCCGTCCCTCTCTCCTCTCTCTCTCCTCTCCACAGATACGCAGGCGTTCAATAAACTCCCTATTATTGGAATAATGAGCTTTTTTTCATTATGTGACGAGGAAAATTGATATTAATTAAATAAATCAGACGATAATCACTTTTATTTGAAAAATATAAGCGATCAGAAAATCCCACGATGTGAACACCCGCCCACGTTTCCCATAGGGGAGGGTCGCACGTGTCGTGTGCCTTTCCCACGTGAACGATCCAGGGGAATCGGTTCCGGACCGGCCGCGATTCGGAAAGCGGCGGGGGAAGCGATTGGAGGGCTCGGCTCACGGCTCGAGCCACTCGGACCCGTCGACGAACTCGGTGGAGAGGAACGGCTCGGCCTGCTGCGCCGTCAGCTCCCTCGACCACCGGACCCTCCCCGACAGGCTGGCCCCCGGCCCGCTGCACCGGTATTGCCCGAAGAAGACCGTCCTGCAGTGCGAACCATACGTACACGCATCTGATGTGGATCAATCATATGCGTACACGAATAGAAGAGGGTAAAAATATATTTGATGAGAAGCGAACAAGACCGTTCTGCTGTGCAACCAATCATTACCGTACACGTAAAAGAAGACGACAAAAAAACGCTCTTCTCTATCTCTTACGTCTGTCTGTTCCTGTCGCCCCAGTCGTACCAGCCGTCGGGGACGACGATCTTGTCCAGGTAGGAGTAGGCGAAGACCACCCTTGAGAAGGTTCCCCATGCTCGGCCCAAGTAGAGCGCCCCCGAACCAGTCACCCTGCACCGGAGGAAGGAGAAGCCCGTCTCCTCCAAGAAGCTCTCCCTCTTCTGCGCCGCCACGGCGCCGTACGACTCTGCCACCGCGTGGAGGCGGCAACCTTCGTACAGCGACCGGCCGTCGCCGAAGACGAAGTCCACCGACCCCTCGATGAAGCAGTCCTTGAAGAAATGCCTCCCCCGGTGGTCGTACAGCGTGTCCTGCCCCCCATGGAAGCCGCAACCGAGGAAGAACGCCGCGTCCCCGGAGATCCTCAGCGCCACCGCCTGCTTCCCCTCCGCTCCCGCCGGCGCCGGCGGCGCCACATTCTGAGAAAAAAAACAGTCCTTGCACCCATTATCGTTATCGTTATGTTGTTCTTCTTCTTGGATCCTGGGTTTTCTTTCTACCTTGAAGGTGACGTTCATGGCGACGAAGAAGGGGGAGTTGACGGCGAAGGTGGCGGAGCCGAACGTGCCAAGCCGCCGCCCCTCGGGGCCCTCTCCGTCCGCTGTGTCGCCCCACTGGATTATCGTCCTCTCCCTCCCCTCGCCCAGCAGCGTCACGTACGCCTTCCTCCCCGGAATCGTCACCTTCTCCCTGCAACTTTAACTCTATCAGAAGATATAGAGATAGAGATCGAGAGAGAGAGAGAGAGAGTAGACTCACGCGTAGACTCCGGCGCGGAGGTAGATGACGACTCGGCAGCTGTTGCCGGGGGGAAGCGAGTCAATGGCCGCCTGGACGGAGACGAAGCTGCCGGGTTTGGAGGAGTTCTTCTTCTCCACCGTGAGCTCCAAGCAGGGCTTGTGCCTGTTCTCCAGCTTGCCGGACGCTGATCCCTTCCGCCCTTCTCCCACATGCTTGACCCAATTCAGGTAAGCTTCTTCTCCGTCCGCCGAAGCAGGCGAGAACAGAAACAGCAGCAGCAGCAGCAGCAGAAAGATGACCGGAAGAACAAAGAAGCTCTTCACCATCATCCTACAACTCCCGCCGCCGTCCAGAAGTGGCGTCTCCTTGCTCACCCATCTTTGTTTTTCTCTCCTCCGACGCACTTTCCACCCTTTCCACCCTGTCATTCCCCGAGATTCCTTCTTAATGCGCTCGGAAAGAGGGGACCGGGCCACGGTGGGCGGTCCACTTTCTAAAAGACCGGCGGACTGCTGCGGCGGCGCCACCGCCGCCGGCGATCCGCAGCGGATCGGAGGGAACCCCGGCCAAGCAACCAGAATGCTCCGACAAAATATGACTGGTACGAGGATGCTCCTCTCGCACGTGCGGGCCATCCATATCAATTTCCATTAAATTAATTTAAATAAAAATAACGGTCGAAAGTGCCGGGCGAGGGCGTCTAATCATGGCCAGAAAATTAAATAAATAAATAAGGGAATATTCCCCGACATCGAGAGCCACAGGCTTCCATGCGGCTGAAGAGAATCCTGGCCGCTCAATCAGTGAAGCCCACTGCCGCAGCCAGAGATTTTATGCCCCTCCGGAAGGGTGCTTTTTCTCAGGTCCCAATTTTTTGGAGGGGCTAGTTAGCAAATTACGCGATCTGGACATTGGCCACGTGGTGGCCACCCATTAGTGAAGGCATTCTGGCCTCAAACGGTCCATCTCCTTTGAAGGGAGGGAGCCGTTATAAATTCAGGAGGGAGAGAGAGATGGAGAGAGAGAGGAAGGGGAGCTAACCAGAAGAGGTAGGGAGAGAGAGCTTCAAAGCTCAGCTCCAGTCGAGGAAATGGCGTCGGCTTCCCTCCTCAAGTCCTCCCCCGTCCTCGACAAATCCGACTGGTTGAAGGGCCAGTCGTTGCGATATGCTCCTGCGGCCTCGGTCTCGGCGCGGTCCCTCCCCGCCGCCTCTCTCACCGTCCGCGCCTCCTCCTACGCCGATGAGCTCGCCAAGACCGCGGTAAGCCCTCCAGATCCGTGGCCTACCTTCTCCTTCTTGTGCGGTCGATGGTGATTTCTGGTCGCTGACTCTGTGGATGGATGGTTTGGGGGGATCTACGTGGGTTCAGAAAACTGTGGCCTCGCCAGGGCGCGGGATTCTGGCCATGGACGAGTCCAACGCGACCTGCGGGAAGAGGCTGGCCTCGATCGGGCTGGAGAACACGGAGGCCAACCGCCAGGCCTACCGTACACTCCTGGTGTCTGCTCCAGATCTCGGGAAATACATCTCCGGGGCGATTCTCTTCGAGGAGACGCTCTACCAGAGCACCACCGAGGGGGAGAAGATCGTCGACATCCTCACCAAGCAGAACATCGTCCCCGGCATCAAGGTGGACAAGGTAAAGCAGATGCAGAGCCTTCTCGCTGCCAGTTAGCATCGTCTGTTCGATTTGGGGACGATCCGTGATGCTGAACTCTGAGGCTTTGCTGCTCAGGGACTGGTTCCCCTCGCCGGCTCCAACGACGAGTCGTGGTGCCAGGGTCTCGACGGCCTCGCCTCCCGCTCCGCCGCCTACTACCAGCAGGGCGCCCGCTTTGCCAAATGGTGAGATATCCACTCACTCTTCGCATCAGTCCGTCCTCTTCCTGGTCTGCTCTGAACTCTCCCCTGCGAATGTCACCAGGCGCACGGTCGTGAGCATTCCAAATGGTCCTTCTGCCCTCGCGGTGAAGGAAGCCGCCTGGGGCCTCGCGCGCTACGCCGCCATCTCGCAGGTGAGGAACCCTAATCCCCGTTGCCTCGCAGATGAGGGACGTCTCCTCCGTCCTCGCTGTGAGATTGAGCATCTCCTACTGGTGATTCTGCGAACAGGACAACGGGCTGGTCCCGATCGTGGAGCCGGAGATCCTCCTCGACGGCGACCACGGGATCGAGAGGACCTTCGAGGTGGCCCAGAAGGTGTGGGCGGAAGTCTTCTTCTACCTGGCAGAGAACAACGTATTTTTCGAGGGCATCCTCCTCAAGCCCAGCATGGTTACCCCGGGAGCAGAGTGCAAGGACAGGGCCACCCCCCAGCAGGTCGCCGACTACACCCTCAAGCTCCTCCGCCGCAGGATCCCCCCGGCCGTCCCCGGCATCATGGCAAGCTCTCCATCCACCCCGAAGACCAGGCCGCGAAACCCTAATCAATCACCCTGGTCTGACGAAATTCCTCCTTTCCTCGTGTCTCAGTTCCTCTCCGGCGGGCAATCGGAGGTCGAGGCCACGCTGAACCTCAACGCCATGAACCAGGCCCCCAACCCATGGCACGTCTCCTTCTCCTACGCGAGGGCACTCCAGAACACTTGCCTGAAGACCTGGGGAGGCCTCCCGGAGAACGTGAAGGCGGCGCAGGACGCCCTCCTGCTGCGGGCCAAGGCCAACTCCCTCGCCCAGCTCGGGAAGTACACCGGTGAAGGCGAGTCCGACGAATCCAAGGAGGGGATGTACGTCAAGAACTACAGCTACTAGGGAGAGGACGCGCTCCTCCGGGACAAGTAGGCCCTCTTTTTCTACTCCACTTCCCTCTCTCCCTTCCTCCTCTCTGCTTCTTCCCCAGTTTACCTTAAATGCCATGGAAGACTCTTCCTAAAGCTTTCTCTCTCCACTTCTCTCTCTCTCTCTCTCTCTCTCTCTCTCCTATTTCAAGAGTAGCTTGAAAGTTGTGGGCTTGTTTGGCAGATGAGAGAGAGAGAGAGAGAGAGAGAGAGGAGACCAGGGCTGATAAGGGGTCAGAGGCCAACGTTCGATTCGATGACGTCATCATAGAATGGGCTTTTTCTGAGCATCATTGACCGCCCATTGCCCTCGTCGTCTGGTATTACTTACCGGTAAGAGACTGATTTAAAAGCCACCTGAAACTATATAAATGTATAAAAATTAACTAAAAAAATATAAGTAGCGGTCAAATCTCAGAACCCAGGGCGCAAGTCATTGAATTGACCAAGTCAGTGACCATTCATTATCTTTTTATTTTCCTCAAAATTATTTTCCCTCCCATTATTCAAAAAATAATTATGCAATCTCTCTCTCTCTCTCTCTCTCTAAAACTTCGATAATGTCCAAAGGCTATGTTCTCTGAATTTAGGTGGGGAGTTAACTTAGTTTTTTTTCCTCTCTAGAAACCCAGATATAGAATTGGGCGTGCCTCATGTTCAACATCCGCCCTACTTTCCCCCAAATCGAGATGAACATCCACCACTTTTTTCCTTTAATTTCCATGCACACTCTATCGCTGCTATGCTGCCAATTCACTCCGATAAATTCTCTCTCTCTCTCTCTCTCTCTCTCTCTCCATCTATCTATCTATCTATCTCTCTCTACAACCCACTACCTTCTTCGTAAAACCCCCAAACCCATGAGCTGCGCATGTTATATAAAGGGAAAAATAGAGAACACGCTGTGGAGCCTGATGGCATGCACAAGGGACCCCAAGAGACTCCCATTTCCCATGAAATATATCATTAAGATTACTACAGTCCCAATCATTCATTCAATGGGCCACCATGAGAAGCGGCACACGATCGCAACCCTCCAATCCGCCCCAAAAGCACAGATCACGGATACTTACAGTTCAATCATAGCCGTCCGATACCCTCCCAAGAGCTACAGTTTGATTGCCGTTTCCATTTCTGTGTTCCCTTCAAAAGGCCCAAGAAGCGGCCCGCCGCCCTCGCCATGGCCGTCACCGGAAGCCACCTCCTGCCCAAGAAGGCGCCATCCCCATTAAGCCTCCAAGAACATGTCCGATTTATATATTTTTTTAAATCCCATAAAAACGACTATTTAAATTATACAATTAAAATATAAAAATCGGTGACAGCCATTTTGGGTACCCATTTTTTTAAAACGATGAGAGGAAGATTAATTATAAAAAACTAAAAATAATAATTGCTAAATATTGAAGAAAATCCTTGCAATAAATACCACTTTTGGGTTCTGAGGATGCAATATTCATAGAAAAATAATTAAATAATTAAATATGATCTTGATCGGAGGAAAAGTGCGCATACTTGTGTTGGAGGGACTGCCTATTTTTTTGAAAAGATGAGAGGAACATTATTCAGGAAAAAAATGAAAAATCGGTAGAGATTGAAGAAAATCCTTGCAATAAATACCATTTTTAGAAAATAATTAAATATGACTTTGACGGGAGGAAAAGTGTGCATACTTGTGTGTTGGAGGGCTGCCCGTGAGTCTGCCTGGGCCAAGTATTGAGGTCGATCATCTTTGCATTGGATTCTGAAGCAGCTTGGTGTCTCTGCGCAGCATCTCTGGGCAGAGGAGTCGGCAGCTTCCCTTCCTTAGTATTATTATTGACTGTGTCGGCCATGTCTTCCGAGTTGTTAGGCTTGTTAATACCTGGAAACTATACAGAGACTAGTTAGGCATTAATCTACGAAGAGAGGCCCACAAGCATCAGGAGCTGACCTCAACTCTCTGCCTCAGGAGAAGGTACCGGGCATGCGTCTGCTTGCCGCCGACATGGACAGTCATGTCGCACTGCAGGCAGAGGGAGCTTCCATCTATCTCGCAGTAAAAGAATGCTGTTCCAATCACATCAGAGGTGCTGAGCACTCCAGACTATGACTAAATATAGCAATGATTTGGGCTTCCTTCCCTTCGGTCATTACCGGGAGAATTCTCGCATATGTCACAGAGGGGGACGTCACTGGGGTCAGCAAGCCTTACGCGGACGTGCCGGTTTGCAAGCTTGTTGCACATGTGGACCTGAAATCCGAAAAAATAAAAGAAATAAGCACTTGATTGCATTAAAAACGATATTAATACGTTGAAGTTATATATATATATATATGGTTTATGGCATAAATGGCGCAATGTCGATGATTCTAGTTAATTCTAGTTATACACCATGAGACAGTTTTATGTGTGCAATGATGATAATCAGTGAAAAGGTTCAAAAGATTGGCTGCATCAAACTCTCCAATTATCATCAGTCCAGGGCATTACTGTTAGTTCTTCCCCAAAGAGGATCCAAAGTTCAAAAATATATTAAAATTGAGAGATCTGAGTTTAGTAAAAATAAATAAATAAAAAATCTTATTAGTAGTGCTGATACAGTTGACATCATTTTCCTATCTGCATCATTTTAGCCTTCATTGGCGTCATATTAGATTATTCTTTTGATTTATACTTGGATCATATTTTCTTTCTTTTTATTTTCATGGCAGATAATGCCACTACACAAGTACACTTTTAGGCACTTGTGATCCTTCCCAGAAGATCTACATTGATGTCATCCATTGTCTCATATCCATCATCATCGTTGACTACAAGCCATAAAAAACCCATTTCTTAATATCCATGCTTTACTGTATAATGATGACCCAAATCACATGGGATAATGGTTTTAGAATATGATGAATGATTTTCATCATTTTTTTAAATCCACCGATGGACTTCATGAAAAGAGGGAAGAATCAATAGCTCAAAAGGTTCTATTGAAATCATTTTCATGTATCAAGATATTTCTTCACCTGAAACCCTATCAAACTAACCAGTTTTCAAAGTCACGTGGAGAAAGTTTGTATGGTAGCTATACCAAGTTATTATTGCAAACCTCAGGATATTATTGAGGCAAAGGATAAGAAAAGATCAAAAGCTCTGATTCAAAGTAATGTTGCTTGATCCTCCGATGAGGAGGTACCAAGACATTTGACTATTGACTCAGTCCGTCGTAAAAGGATTATTAAAGCAAATAAGCATCAGCAAATAAATAGAAAAGCAAATCATAAAAGGCCAACACAGAATTACAAAATTTAAATTTCAAAAGGGTTGATATCTACTGCTCAAGATTCAACACTCGCTGAAAAATTTAAATGATATCACTGGAGCCTATAATTATCAAGTACAGGAGTCAAGATGACGAGAAAACAGATAATTGAAGACACAGGAGTGACCCTTGCAAACAGTGGGTTGACACTAGGGGTTGACCCCTTATAAAACTTCTGAGTTGGCATTTTTGCATTTGCTATACCAGGCACGATTGTTGACAATTGGAAGATTAAGGAGTCGATACATAACAGAGCTACCGGACAAGTGTCTACACTTGACATTTGAAGGAGTTAACACCTAAAAATGTTCCATAGACATTTTCTGAGATAGGAACCGAAAAAGACTGAAAAATTAACCATTGGAGGACGAATTATTCACAACCGGTATTTTCCTTCATGTGGTAAAAGCAGCGATTCCATCAATTCTGAAGTTAGAAAACCTCTCCTCACGTGCTCAAGTACTCTTCTCAAGACTTTTAAGCTCATTTTTGTTACTTTTTAACATATTTTCAAAGACTTCAAAACTCATTCATTCAGGCTCATAAGTGCTCAACTACTCTATTCAAGAGATAGAGAAAGCCCTCTAAGCTCATTTTTCTTTCTCCACAACATCTTTAGATCTTGAGAGAAAAAGCATCACCCTCGATTGCATAAAACAATGTCCCAGTAAGGTATAATAGTATTTTTCATATGAAATCGATTAATCTTTTCAAAAAATGTTGCACTTTGTTGCCCATCAAGAACAAGAAATTTGAGTAACAAGGAATCGACTCTAGTAGCATCTATATCATATATCTCCACATGTACATGTGTATGCACATAAATATATATTTGGCATGAGTTTGTATCATTATCTACATGTTCATGCATATAACTAATGATTATCAGTTGGCAGTATAAAGAAAAAGGGGATATAAATCCATAATTATGTATGCATCCAAGTTTTTCATATATCGACCTTATTGGTAGAGGTATACCAGAGAGCTAGGGGCTAGGTTAGATTGAATTCAGCTCAAGGAGAACAGCGATACAAAAAAATTCATCATTCCAAATTATGACCATGTGAAGTTTGAAACGTGCCTAAATGACACACCATCATGGCAACCAATCCTCCAACAATCTTTCTCACTCCCCTCCCCCACAGTCACACTTGAGGGCTATAAAATGCATGTATCTCTATGGTTTCTCCCTCATTCTAATTTTTTTAAGAGGAAAAGAAAGAGTATCATTAAGATTTTGTCCAGCTTAAACCTCAAATTTAGCCCATCACCAGGCATACAACAAGCTTGACCCCAAAAATGCTGGGGTCGGCAAGACACAACAGTCGACATGCCAAACTCTGTATGTTGGCATGTAACCCACGTATCTATTGCAATCTCTCATTTCTTGCACCACGTGTCTCCATGCTGTATGGGATGCTATATGAATCTCCATCATGTGCCGCATAAATAAGCTCCACAACTAACTAGGAAAAATCCCTATGTGTATAGATAGTTTCTCACCAATACCCTCTATTATGTATTGGTTCTTGGAACCATACAAGCACAACATCGCCTCCCATCACGATTGAAGCTCATCACACGTTAATAATCAACAAGTTATTTACCCACTGTGGAAAGGTAGTATACGAGAAAGTAGATTGAACTATCACTCTCATTCGTTGAAGGCAAAAAAAAAAGCATGAGGAAGCAACTTGTTCACACTATAAGCTTTTGTGAAGGGAGAATTGTACTGATAATTTTTGAAACTCAGACTATAAATATGTCCGAGATAAAATCAGCCGAATCATCTAGAATATTTTCTAATGTGTTGTCACTAATATGAATGGTAAAAAATTTTTAAAGATGAAGCTAGTTTACCAAGGCCCTCGACCCTTTTTTCATAAAGCGTTCATCCCTGATGCATATTTTTGAGACACAGTGACAATTTAAATCAGATGATATTCTGTAAATTTATATTTAGAGAAGAAAGAGAAATCAATGCCATTCTGAGTTTCAATGTGATGAAATAATGATCCCAGAATGCGTCTGATTTACTGATAAATCCAGTTTCATCTACTGGGGGCAGCTGTTCCATTGTGGCTGGTAGGTAGACTCTCAGATAGGCGTAGTTGTTAAACCCAGGGCTTTTCCCCGAGGCAAGTAATCCTATTCATATTTTTGTAACCCTGAAAGGTCAAAAGACTATGGTGCTGCTCAAAAGTCAGGACGCCAACTTACCCTGTCTGAAGTGCAATGTGATGGCAGAAAAAGAACGCATAGTTTCAAGCATTATTCGATTCAAGACACCAGACGCAACACAATGCAATGAGGACTAAACCCTAGAATTTTCTGGATCAGAACCAAACTGCTTCTGATGCATTTCAACTTATCTTATCTACCTCTGGTTCTGTTACAAATTTCTAAATGTACAAAATAGATCCTCAAATCAGGGATGATGAACCAACAATCTCCCCTTGAATTTTTGCGAGCCAGTACAACCAAAAGTTATCGTGGGATAATCTGTGCAAACCACACGTAGAAACTCACTCTGAGCGCAGGAAACCCACTCAATCGGGCCGACACCACGACTATCTAGCGACCGAAAGCTTCATATGACAACGCGATCAAAGCAAGTGCATACCAAAAACCAATGGACAAACGGTTTCATGCAATCTATTAGCATTAATGCCCGGATAGAAATCTATTTCACAGCAAGTTTCTCAAAGACGAGAGTTAAGGAGTAAGCTGAAGACACCTTATCGTCGCAAGACTGGCACAGGGCGGCCTCGTCCGCTGCACAGAAGAGGACGGCAGGGGCGCTTTCGCAGACATCGCAGATGGTCCGCATGTTTCGTGACTCCACTCTCTCACCCCATGCCACAAGCCCCCACCCCGTTCCCCGGCAAACCAGGTACTTCCTTCCTATTCTCCTCAGCAAGACGGGTGAGGAGAGAGAGAGCGCAACAGGAAGAGAGAGAGAGAGAGAGAGAGAGAGAGAGAGAGAGAGCAAACGTCAGGCGGACATTGTTGAGTCGGCCTCTGACGACGACCTCCATAGAGGCCCTCGATTTTATAATAATTTTCATTAAACCTTGCAACAGTATAATTAAGTAGTTAATTCCACAATTATTTTGGCCCGTAAGGATGGAGAGAGAAGGCCGGAACGGTATGCTTCCGTCCGTAAGAGAACAGTCTGAAAAAATATTATTTTATAGGGATCTAACTGAAAAACATTATTAAAGTATGTAGGGGCACTGTTTATATGACACGTGGCATAGGCACAGCCACCAGCTGAGGCCCACGCGCTTCGACTTAGTGGGACACGCTGTCGACCACATGTCCTGGAGTAGAGAGAGAGAGGAACTCAGATGCCACGAAATTCAGTGTCGAATCAAAAAGTGCCACGTAATGGTGGTGTCGATCGAACCTTCGGACCTCCGAACTGTAATCGGGACTTCTCAACACGGAGAAAACCATTACCAGATCCAATAAAAACTTTTTCAGAAAATAATGGATTAACACGACGGCCCAACTTTATTTCACAACCTTCTCGAGCCCTCGGATCTGAATCCTGCGGCTGGGGTTCCTCTCATCAGCCCTAGACACAGCTGGTCCTAATCGAGGCCTATGAAAGAGAGAGGAGAGAGAGAGGGAGCTGGTTCACTATAACCATAATTTGAATAAAAGGTCAGGGCCAAAATGTGAAAGATTAAGGTTGCCAGCGTGCCAGGCCTGAGAAATAGGCTATGAAAATCATGCCAACTCTCTCTCTCTCTCTCTCTCTCTCGCTCTCTCTCTCTCTCTGGAGACGGGCACCTGTTTTTGAAGTTTAGAGAGAAGAGTGAGAAGCGAGACCATCCTCATTGGCCTAAAGAATTGACCTTCTACTCGCTATACATGAGAAAGATTGCTGTTTTTGGCAAATGGAAGAACGACTATAAGGATCAAGCCATCTCTCTCTCTCTCTCTCTCTCTCTCTCTCTCTCTATCTCCAGAGATGGGCAACTGTTTTTGAACCTTAGAGAGAAGAGTGAGAAGCGTGACCATCCTCATTGGCCTAAAAAATTGACCTCCTCGCTATACAGAAGAAAAACTGCTGTTTTGGGCAAATGGAAGAAGAAAATCAGTGGGATGGATGAATGGCCTTGAGAGCTCGGTCTCATAAGGATATGATGGCCTTGAGAGCGTCTCTAACGTATGGATACTTGAAGGAGAAGCCCAGCTCCTGGGCCTTCAATGGGAGCACCTTCTGCCCGTCTAAAACCTGCAAAGAAAAAAAGCCCCCCATGAAGCTCAGAGATTCAGTCTTCCACTGGGCTGGCGAGTAACTCTAGAGAGAGAGAGAGAGAGAGAAAAGACTCACAATGGTAGCCCCCTCACCCAGCATGGCTTTGAGAGCGAAGTCCGGGACGGGGAGCCACGAAGGTCGGCCTGTGACTTCGCCCAGTTTCTCACACATCTCAGTCAACTTAACCGGGTTGGGCGCCGTTCCATTGATCACCCCTAAAATGGAAATAATCCAGTCCACTGATAATAATAATAAAAAAAATTTGATAATAAATCATTTGATGGAAGAAATCCATGCGTTTTTAATCATCTCCATGGTTCTTGGGTGTGGCAATGAAAAAAATTGGACATTAAAGGGTATAATAATTTGTCTAATTTCTGCACTGATACTCAGTCTTCCACTGGGCTGGCGAGTAACTCTAGAGAGAGAGAGAGAGAGACGATATTTACCCTTATAGGAAGGATTTTTCAGCGCTTCCAGAATAAGATTCACCAGATCATCCAAGTGAATCCACGAGAACCTGCAGCATGAGATGAGATTCACACTTCAGGGCATAACGTTGACTATTATACTAATAAACCCTCGATTATTCAAAGTATATTCCACTCTTTCACGAGATTTGAGGAAAACATATGCTTTTTTCTTGTTTCAGGAAATTAAAACCATAAAGTGTAGGTAATTAAGCGGATTATCTTGATTACACCAATCATTTCCATTTATGGTAAATAACGGAGAAAAACATGATTCTGGTACCCAACTATTCATCATAGAATTCCACTCTTTTAGGAGATTTGAAGAAAACATATACTTTTTCCCTGTTACAGGAAATTAAAACCACAGAATGCAGCTAAATAAGCGGATTATCTTGATTACACCCATCATTTCTATTTATGGTAAATAACAGAGAAAAACATGCTTCTTGTACCCAATTTTGGGGGTAAACCATGGTCCGTTTATAAAGTTTCTAATAATATTTTGAAATATTTCAGAGGAGAGATCAGGAGATTACCATTGATTTCCACTGCCGAGAGGTCCTCCGGCAAACATCATGAAGAAAGGAATCATTTTTGCTGACGAATGGGAGGGAATTTATATTAATATAAAAAACCAATAAAATGCAGGATGAAGAAATGTTGCAAAGGAAAATAATCAAGGGGGACATATTGGGCTTATTTTTCTGAATTAAGTTAAAGAGGGAATCAAGAACTGAGTAGCTTTCATACAAAAAATATGACCAATTTGGAATCCTTGGATATAGATCCCATGTTTAAATGCCTGGTGAGACTCCACTTAAATTGGGAGAATATTTTACTAAAAAGGAGCCCTCTTTATTTTCATTTCTGAAAGGAAAGCAACTACAGAGAATAATAACAAAATAAAATAAATTACCAGAATTAGAAAAAAAAACTTAATTTGGTAAGTAAGAACATCAATTAGACAGTACGGAGAGATAACATATCATCCAAGGTGATAATATCTCCCAATACATTAGTAATGGTTTTCAATAATAATAAGACCCATAATCAAATAACTAGATCATCTTCAGATATAAAAGCAGAGAGGACGATCATCTGATTATTTTCATAGATCCAGAGGCCCTAATGCTATTCAAGTTTATGATTCTTTCAACTGATTTCCCCTCTAATTTCACACGAATATAGATAGTATCAGGTGATTGAAGAATACCTAAAGCTCCACCCTCTTTGCCTAGAACAACTCCAATGCGAATGAGTGCCAGTCTAACATCCTTGTCCACTCCAAGAGCTTTTGCCTCCCACACTCTACAGACCTGTAAGCAGATTCATTCAAAATATACCATAAATACAGAGAATTAAGTTACAACGAGAGGAGTGATCAACCCGTTATAGATATCATCATAGATGAAAAGAAACTTAAATCCGGTAGTATGCTACCAGAAGAACACCACACTACTGAGCTTGGCAACCATAAGCATTAAGGGAAATAAAGAAGTTATATTGTTTACTCAGAGTTCTGACCCTCCAAGATACACAAAGATCAGTAAGCCACATAATTTCGGTTTTCTGAGGAAAATAGGTTATCTTCAAGGACCATTAGACGTGGCTTTTTACGCGCCATTGAACCTAAGTAGATGTGTGTATCACATGGTGGAAGTGAGTCACCATGGTTCAGTTTTCCAAGAGAGAGTTGCCCTATGTAGGTCAGGATATCCCATTAGGCCCCCTTGGATGGTGACTCATTTTCTTCTAGTGCGACCCTATTTTAATGTTATTGTACAGCAGAGTAGAAGAGAGATGACCTTCGTACTCTCTTAAAAGTACTAATGTCACAATCGTTGTATTCAATCATCTGCCGTGGTGGTATTTAGCATTGAAACCTGTCAGGAGCTTACTGAACAGGAAAGATAATAACACTGCTTAGAGAAGACAACTGTCTTTTTTTTTCTATGTTTTTTCTGGTACTATGGCATAGTTACACACTAAGACAAATAGATAAAACGACAGATAATAAAAGTTAACGAATTGAGGTGAGAAAAGTTATTTTTCTGGCCTCTGAATAGGAGGATCAAATCTACCTCATCAATAAAACACTCACTAATTGTTTAAATAATAATAATAATAATAATAATAATAATAATAATACAGATTTCAGGTTGTATACTCTGACATAACTTCCTTTACTAGTAGCTAGAGCAAAATTATATGTCCTCACCTCTGACAAGTAGTCATTTCCTGAAGGACTACGCTCATCAAAGACCTTAGTTTCACTAGTCCCTGCAAAGCAGATTTACTGATTAACAAAATGAAACCATTAGAAAGGGTTCAAAAAGCATAATAGACCACATTCTTCTATTGCTTCCGTGATATTAGCCAGAGGGTCATATGATTCGCCCACTGGTGAGAAAGGCAGTCGCCTTTCCTTCAGAGAGACTTGTTGTCACTAACAATCCCAATCTGCCCCTCTTGGGGTGGAAAAACAGATAGCTACTATTTTTACATAGGAACATACCATTGGAACCAAAAACTTACCATAGTAACCAATAGCAGTCGCACTGATGAGAACTGAAGGCCTAGTATCATAGCTTGTGCCATTTATCAAATCAACAACCTTAACAAGGAAACAGGAGTCATTATATGAGTTTCAAACAAGGTTCTCATCTGTCTATCCAGAAATGTTTTATACAGCAAGTTGAAAGGATCCAGACTTTTGAGGTAACTCTTGTCCGGCTATCTTTGATCTCTTTCTTCACCTGAAACGCGATAGAATACAGTGTGAATCCTAAGCAAACATTGATTATAAAATATATACAGATGGTGCTTCAATTATTCATCCATTAAATACACAGAGATTATTAGCATACAACTACAAATAAGGACGAGTATCAGTTTCAATCTGGTTCAACAGAATCATTATCCTACTTTCATTTGAAATAAATCAGAAAAACCCTAGAATTCGGCTGCGTTCTCCCACAATATATTCGTCCTTAACACCTTCAGCTTCAATTAAGCTCTTAACAAATAATGTGAGAAAATGGGAGAAAAGTAAGCAGACGAAATATGATAAAAGATGATTTGAAACTATTCAAGAAGAAAGAGGACTCAAATATTGAATGAGTACAAACCCAAGGTAAAACCTATTTTGGACTTCCCAGGATGTGGGTTTATAAGCGAAATGAAAGCCCAAAACTGGCAATATTTGAAGAGATAGCACCAGTACTGTAAGTTGTTTAGTCATCATAATCATCGACATCAAGTGATATCGCATTAACCACAAGGGATCCAAAAATTTGGCAAGTAGTCACCGCTCACACAAAGATAAGCATACGATTACATCCAGAGAAAATCCCAAGAAACCACTCTTGATATTTAAACATTTTTTAAGCAATCCACGAAGATTCCTGCAGAAAGTGGAGATGCGAATGGGAAGGATATTCCAAGGGCAACCACTAAGCAAACATTGCTGGGTCTCTAGATATCAATTCCAACAGCTTCATCAATCAATGGCAATTTGCTGTTGTAGGCTTTTTTGAATTCCTCTGAACAAAAATCCCTTCCGTCCTTCTACCACCACATTTCTCTTCTACTAAAGTCTCAACACGAAATTCTCAGTCGTCAGTACCCGAAAATAGAAAGGCATCTTATTACAAATTTAAATCCAGAAGAAAGGACAAAGTATCCACATTGACGCCATTATTTTGGAGGGAAATGAGAAAAGTAGAAAATTGGTCTTTCCAGACAAGTCAGCACTCAGACAATACAGAACCGCCAGCAGTGTTCTCAGTGCTTTAAAAACATTCTAATGAACATTATCGATGGGGCATAAAGACAAGTGCCTTTATATTCACAATAACAAATGCCGCAGCAAAAATCTTTTATCTTAAGAAGACATCAACGTCAAGGAAACTTTTGATCCCTAATCTGTGACCTGAATCAGTCTGTTCATCCATCTAAATTACATGGTTTGAATATACCTATTCATAGGTTCTACGTTATAGACAAATCACAAATTAAATGGATCCAATCACCAGAGAGCATCGACAAGAAAGTAATTTTAGAGTATATTACACTGAGATCATTGTTGAGACAAGCCTATATGATACTCACCAGATTTTTAAACACAAAGATAAGCATAAGACCAGAAGGGAAATGTTTTTGTAGCTTTTATGAGTATAAAACGAGTAAACGCAGATTAATGCATAATCGCAACCTCTGATGACCATCTTGTGCTTATGGGCATTCCAGCCAAATTGACAACTGCAGTTGAGCCTTGAATGCAATCCTTCCACTCGAACTCGCCAGCGATGGTAATCTTTGGGAATTTCTCAACTGCGTGAATTCCGGAAAAATCGGTCAGATAAATGTGCGATATTGGTAAAGACAGAAAAACCAGAAAGTATCATAAAAAATAACAAGACTGAAGACCTACATCTCCAATCTTCTTTAATAGCATGTGATTTTGAAAATTGATTAACAGCATGTGATCTTTAATAACATTTTCCTCAGCTTTATGCAGCAGTTTTTTTTTCTTGGAAGGGCGGAGGCAATTTTATGCATAGAAACATTATGATATATTATATGACATGTGTTGGTATGTTTTCCACTAAGATAATCATACAAAAAGAGTTTGGCTTTAATCATATTTCCTACTTTATACCAGGGTATGGAAACTATTTTAGATTTGTGCCACCAGCGATAATGATCAAACTTAACCTCATATAACTAAACATTTAAAAGGTGATTGCTTGCGCAAACTAAATATTTGACAACTGGTCACTCATGAAAATAAACAACAATCAGCATCTATGCGACTATGTAACGAGATAATAATTCAGACAAAAACACTGGCTGTATTTTATTCAACTCAATTTTAATAAATGAGACTAGTTCTATTAGCTTAAAATGGACCAATTAGCGGTTTCAGTGTCCATTCATAGTCAATTATTGTTCTCACAAAGAACATCCCTATGAAGAGATTGTGAATCTAACTAGGAAACGGAGGGAGATATTTAGCATATAACTGCGCTATCAATCCCATGGTCTTTGCCTGACTGAATAAAATTGATTAACATGACTATTAAAAAGAGTTCTTGTTAACTTAAAGTTAGCAACACTACTGAGTGATCCATCTCTAGAATGACTAAAAAAGGATAAAATTATGCAACTGTCAGCGAATAAAGACAGGAAAAATTATACAAGATAATCTTTTAAAATTTTCAGAACATAGATGACATTCTGCCAAGTGTTGAGACAGTAGATTTAATATATGAGATGAAATGCGCGGATAACTTGGCACGGAGTCCATTAATGCAAGAAATAACTACATTAGGCGAATTCCGATGTTCGGAACATCAAAAGGGAATTCAATCCTTGTATGGATTATGATTATCGATGACAAATTTCATGTCGCAAGATCAACACCGTCAGCTTTTTTTCCTTACAAAAGAATCCTATAAATCTCCATCACAACTAGGATCTAATCAAGAAAGCCGTACCTTACCAGGGAAAAGAAGTTTTGCATTTTCTTTAGACCGAGTGAGAACACGAACTTCATGGTCACCTGAATAAAGAGTGGAGAAATAAGGTTGGGCGAAAAAAATGTAAATAAAGTTCAAATTAAAAATAGGTTCACAAAAAAATATGCCATGATGATAAGAAAATAATGAATCTGCGACGGAAACGACCAATGGAGGATAAAAATCGGTTATTCTGTGTCAAATAGATTCTTCCATGGATATTTCCAATGTAGACACATTTGTCTTAAAATAGTACCACATAACTGAGAAACACACACTGAGACAAGACGAGAAAAGATATTCTTCTCAGCGCAAAGATTGGGTAAATAACTCTTCTCAACACAGACCTATTTTAATAGAACGCCCATCATACAACAGGATAAATCAACTGCATTCCACGACCTCATTCAATATTTCAATAGGAAGTCATATTTCCTGTACAGATTTTCTGGATGCTTTATCCGAGTAACTTCAATCCTATTTTCTGCACTTACATCTAATTTCGAGAGTACAACACAAATGATCGATAATTCCTCAGACGTCTTATCAAATGGTCGTACTCATGACAGTCAGATAGGGACACCAGATTGTCATATTCACGACAATAACTTAGCATAATACAGACATAAAAAACCTTGGTATTTTGTAGTGACTTCAAGAATTAAGTACCACTTCCTATGGAAACCAATAAATATCATAGACATAAATATTCCCAATAAAACAGATAATGAAGTGGTTCAAGGAGAGGTTAATGTGTTGTGATCAAAACTTCCTGCAAAACTCAAGCCTGGTAGGGTTCGTATAAGCCACACCTTGTGAAGACAATCAACGAGATTACAGTATTACCAAAGAACTGGGATACAAAAGTTACTGGCTATAACCTGGCTGTTGGCTCCCAATGATTCCTAAACTCATGCCTTAATACTACACTTTTTCCCTAACTCCAATAGGCATTCTCTTTTCCCAGCTTGGATACAATATTCTGAAATATTGAACTACATATCCCTTAGTAAGTACATCCAAAAGTTGGCTGTCTGGACACATAAGGTGTACAAATCAATCTGCTCTCCAACTTCTCCTTGATAAAGTGTATGCCAAACTTGATGTATTCTGTTTCTCGTGTTGCACAGGGTTGTGAGCTATGCTGATTGCAGACTACTTATCACAGTTGAGTCGCACTGGGCCATCCTACTGAATCTTCAAGTTTCTAAGATGATCTATTACCAAAGTAGTTCACACAGACCATAAGCCATTGCTTGGAATTCAACCTCTATACTTGACCGTGCTCCTACATTCTATTTCTTATTTCCCCATATCACAAGATTGCTGCCAAAATCGGTGCGATATCTAGAGGTTGATCTCATGTCAACCACTGACTCTCCATAATCAACATCCATGCATGCCTCAAGTATCAATCCTACATTTCTCTTGAACATAATCTCCTGTCCTAGTGTCTTTCTGAGATACTGTAGCACTCGGTCAACTTACTCCAAATGGATTTCCTTTGGTCTATGCATGAACTGGCTAATCACACTCACTACATATGCTATATCTGGTTGCGCAGAGACAAATAAAGCAATCTTCCTGCCATGTGCTGATGCGTTTTCCCATCTATAACACCATCATCCTCTACCTTTCCAAGCCTAAGATTTAGATCTATTAGAGTAGTTGCCAGTATGCATGCAGCCTTTCATGTTCCTCTAAAAAGATCTGTAACATACTTCTATTGGGAAATGAAAATCTTTTGCAAGTGAGCTACTTAAAAATATTTCAACCTAATGCTTTGATTACAAACTCCATAGCCAAACACTAGCTTAAATATTCTCTGTTTGTCTTCATAATTATTTTCATCAACAAATACCAAGAGTGTTGTGACCCACCTTCAGGATGAATATTTAATAAACAGTGTATGATCCCCCTTGGCTTTGTCTATACCTCATGGCAATCATGACTCTTGAAAATTTGTCAAAGCATGTCTGAGGTGATTGCTTAAATCCATACAAAGCTTTCCTCAATTTACACCATGAGGAGCTAAATTATTTTCATAACTCAGTGGGACCTCCATATAAATTTGTTCCTCTAGTTCACCATGCAAAAATATATTTTTAACATCAAGCTGCAGCAGCAGCTTTCCGTCATAATTAGTCATTAATAACAACAAGATTCTGATGATATTCATTTTTGAAATCAGAGCAAAAATCTTTAAGTAATCAATGCCATAGATTTGAGTATAGTCCTTGACAACCAACCTAGCCTTGTATCCCCCTATAGATCCATCTGCTTGGTACTTCACAGCATGGACCAATTCACAACAAGTACAGCATGGGGGTTTCTTTCCTGCTAGCAACCTTACTTACTCCCAAATTTTGTTCTTCTTGAATGCCTCCATCTCTTCATTTATAGCTTATTTTCATTCCTTACTGGACAAGCCTCATATTTGGTTGTAGGGATGACAATGGTGTTTAATCTAATAAAGAAGATTCTATGAGATGTTGAAACGTGTTTAAGGGACAGGACGTGTGCAGGAATATATAAAGATCATTTTGTGAATTCTCTAATCCCTTTCCTAATGGCAACAGGAAGATCTTGATAAACATTGCTCATAAGAGATCTGATTTCAAGTTGCAATGCAGAATTAGAAATTAGTACCTCATTCTCAGGATCCAAGTTGGATTCTCGAACTTGTGCAGATTCATGAACAACCATCTCCTTCCTTGGGAAAATGTGGGAAAGAACGTATATTGAGGAGTTTGGCTCTCAGCTGGTAAGTTTTCTTTTTTCTAGATAGTTTCCTTATTTCGTGGCCCTTGCATATAACTAGCAGTCATCTATGATGCGAATAAGTAGATATTTTTTTCCACTGTATGTCCTCCCAAGGTTTGTGTCACAATATAGTTTTCAACGTGATATCAGAGTCTGGTTTGCGGTCACTGGCTTCCAGGGAATCTAGAGTTTACTTCCTGCCTTTTGCTGCAGCTAGTGTTTACTCATATTAGTCCAGAGCTGCTTTGTTCATGCAACCAAGAATATCTCGTTGCTCTGGGCGCTCGACCACAAGAGAGAAGAGCATGCAAAGGAATCAAAGGTGGTGACAGGTAATGCCGCATGAACGCCAGATTCATGTTCTTTTTTTCTCTCCTCTTTTGCATTCTATGTGGCTGCCGGAGAACTCCCTACTCTACGGCGCACTTTGTGGCAGCTGCAGATAATTGATTCCTCCATTTCCAGTCTTGTTTTCAAGTTCTTTTTTCATTGTCATCCTTTCAGCCTCGATAGCTGGTAATCCCATTTGATAATCAACTTTCATTGTCGATCCTTTCAACCTTGATTGCTGATAACCATTTTTGATCATCAACCTTCATTCTGGATCATTTCAGCATTAATCACTAGCAAAATCCCTTGATTATTGACCTTCATTGTCAGCCTTAGCACAAGCAATCCTTTCATTGCAAATAGCTCTCAATTTTTCTACAAACATCATAAATTGTAGAGATGATTGCTATCACGCAATCGGAGCAAATTAAGAAGCTTGATATTTGAACGAAGCATGAACAGATTGGCCATAGTAGCAAGAGGTGGTCTCAACCAAGAAGAGATCAAGAAGGAGAGATCTCTCATTAACAAACATGATTCTTGTTTCTTGGCATATTTAGGTAAGTTACATCCTCTAATGAATTAAATGACTGGGGTAGAACCTTTGATGATTCCTGGATCATGAATTAAGGAGCTACTGACCATATGGCCCACTCACTAATGTCTTCTGCACATACTCTCCTTCTCCAAGTAGTAGGAAAATAGCCACAACAGATGGTTTTTTTACCAGTATAGCAGGTGAAGGAGATATCAAAAGAACCCCTTCACTGACCTCAAAAAATGGTCTTCATATCAGTAAATGCTCCACAAACCTTGTGGCTATCCAAACGCTTACTCAAGATTTAGATTGCAAATTGGTTTTCCACCATAGTCATCGTGTATTTCATGAAAAGGATTTGGGGAGGAAGATTGGGCATGCCAGGGAACGGAATGAACTTGCAAACATTGTTATCTTGAATCACTGAGCTACTCAAACATTGCAAAGGGCAATCTACTACACTCTGTTGGGCTTCGTCCATCAAATCCGTAGAGTCCGTCTTGTTTTCTAGCACTTCCAATCATCTTCCATGTATCACTATCATTAAATACACAATGTTTATGATGAAAAACTAATTTGCAATGTAAATATTGAGTAATTTTTTATATAGACACAAGGTTTGTAAACCATCTAGGGATATGAAAACATTGTTGAAGTCCATGAAGTCGGTAGCTCCTGAATCCATTATCCAGGAGTCGGCAAAGGTAGTACTTGAGGTATTTCATCCGACAGAGGGTAGAAACTCACCTAAAATGTCAATGAGCAAGAATCTTTGAGTTCGTTAAGATTATTCCTTGGCTGCTCTCTTTTATGCCCCCATTCTTGACTCAGAGGTATTCCATGGAATTTCCGCCACTATTCATGAGTGTGGCATGGCTTCTTACAGTAAGTGCATCACAAGCTATCTTTATGGTAATGATTCTGGGCCTTCAATTGTCTAGGTTTTTCACTCTCAGCAACTTGTTCTCTCTCCACTTTTGTGGCTGAATTTATTGCTACCTCTAGCCACCATAGCAGAGCTGTTCATAGTTTTTGGTCATAGCATCGAGCCTCTTCTACTTTCCACTCCTCGAATTGGTGCCACTAGTATGCAAAAAAAGTGATCTCTTTGAAACAATCAGCTGATCCAAGAGCCTGAAAAGAAAACCCGATCCTCTCCACACGTTGCAGAGTTATCCAAGAATGACTGCTGCAACAGGACAATCCAAGGGGAGACTATTCTTCATTGAATTGGAACCACATCAGACAGACGGAGATCCCACTTGCTGCCTGGAGATTGACAGAAAGCAGAGGATGGGGAGGACGAAGACTACAGAAAAAATTTCTAGATTTACAAAGCTGAAGTTCTGATACCATGATTTAAACCAAACAAGAATAAACAGTGGGAAATATTTTCTGTCATACCAATTAATAGTACAATTTCTGGTTACATACAACTACCCCAGCCTTAAAAAAGGAAAACTACCTAGGTTGAATCCCACGATTAATATGATACTCAACCAAATTAGGAAACTGACACCAACCACTGTTAATTATACATCTTTTCCCATAAAATACCATATTGAAGTTCCTTGATGGAGAGTAATGCAGCCTCGATTGTTAGCTTAGTTGTATATGTTCAGGCTTATCCATTCTATGACATCATCCAATGACTATAGCCTTCAACATTATCCACAGTGTCATTAGAAAATAAAATAGTAAAAGTTGCTCTGTGAAACTCACAAGTAGTATATTATGAATGTACAACAAGGACCTAAGGAACCCTAACTGAAAGGCGATTGCTAAGGAAAATTCACAACTACCTAGATAGTCCAAACTTTATTATTGTCCTCAAAAGCATATCCTTTTCAGCATCAATACAAATACTACGCACACATTTCCTTCTAGAATGATTTTTTGTAACGTATTTTCTCATCTCCAAAGTTTTTATTCTTCATGTGACCAAAAACTCCATAAATTTCTCTCACTAAATCATTTTCAACCCATTCCTTATCTAAGAAAAGTAAGTCAGTCTCAAGAAAATGGACAATATTCTCCAAGCAATAAACGGATGCAAAATATGAGACATGAAATTTGTGGATGTGGTCCACATTGCCAAGAGTCCCCAAAATTTATGATCACTGTCATTCTTTCCCAGATGAATCATGTTCATATCAGAAGCATTGCAATGGGGTCAAGAATCATAAATGTTACCTTACTTTTCCAGCCTGATTACATTGGAGCATCCAATGAAGCTTCAATCCTCTAAGTAACAAAAAGAAGCATAATACTCCATCTTAAAGCTATCTTTGCACTCCAATACATTATTTTCGAATGATTCAATGTAATACGTTGTGTGAAACAAACGTGCAACTAGTTTCCGAGATGTTCACCTTCAGCTAGCTTTTGAACCAATCTTCTACCTATAAAACCTGTAGCTCCTGTAATAGACACAATCATCTGAGTTTTCTGCAACCAAAAAAGGCAAGGTTAGACCTCCAAACAGTCAGACAAGTTATACAAAATAAAACACCCCAAGATAAATGTTTCCAAGGCAGCTAAAAAGCAGAGTCCTATTCGAAGAGAACAGATTTTTGTGAAAAAGTCCCCATCAAACTTAAATTTTGGCATAGGATAAAAAGTTTGAGAAGTGATTCACAAGTAGCTCTAGTTTCTAAGATCCTACCAGGGTAAGTTTTTTTGAAAGTAGGTGATCAAATTTCAAACTGGGAATGATTACGATTCCACTCTCACAAATATCGCAACAGGAGTAATTTCATTACTGCAAAACACAATAGTAATGGTTCTTCAAAAGAGAATCCGAAGCTAGAAAGGTTTCCATATAATTATTGACCTACACTTGGACGCGAATCAATATTTATTTTTCACCATAAATCATCCTCTTGTTTACAATCAACATCTTTTGGAATCCTTCATGAGTGAACATATTCAGCTCCTTAAAAAAAAATGAAATTAAATAGTTTTAATCATCCAGAAAAATGCATTCCGATTCATTTATGAATAGACCTTGGGAAACTTGTAAAACATTAAGAAAATTTGTCCAACAAAGCTCATGAAAGAGTAGAAGTTACAAGTGCTTTCCAATTTATTGGCATGTCCCTTTTGGTTCTGGGAGAGCGGAAAAGAGTGCCTCAGATGACTTCCTCAAACACAATCAAGAATTAGACAATAAACCTCCTGGCGCATGCACAAATCTATTCCCTTTCACACGCTCTCTACATGCATACCAACAGGCCTGCTCACCAAAAAGGACAACAAACCACAAGCCAACCTCCTTGCCAAAAAAAATTTGTGTACCTGTGAGCGCCAAACCCTGCACCCTTCTTCAAGAGTCGAGCACCAAGACAACTGCCCTATTCTTCGACTTTTGATATGCTAATATTTTTCAACACTTTGGCAAGTGTTCATATATTTTTCCATTTATGTCACCATCGTCTATAAGCATTTTCCATTGGAATGCAAAGCCTGCATAGTGCCTTGATTCATTCGGGGAGAGTGTCTTCATTTTACCCTGTCATGTTGCACTGCAATCCTAATATCTATATAGATACTTGTCATCTAATTGGAGGCATCATCCTATTATTATTTACGAAAGTTTCAACGAGGATTATCAACTTAACATATGAATGGTGAATTCATGTTTCGTTTAATCACAGCCTGAAATTTTTTCTTTAACATTTGTCTACGTTCATATGCCCTGGAGAGGGAATTTTCTGCAAAAATGGCACAGGTAACAATGGCACAATCTAAAACACCCTGGAGAGGAAATTCAACAGTCAATAGAGCAACAGACGTTACCTTGGGCTGCTGGTAGAGTCCATCGCCGGTGCCGGACGCAGTTGCGGCCTCAGTATCGACGCATGATATCCTAAACGTCCTGACAACCCTTAACTAGAGAAACCAGGCAGCTTACTGATATCAGAGACGGTAGAAAAAAAATGAAACTCATCGACATCACCTGACGGACAAAAACAACAGAGAATCCCAACAACACAATGCAGAGATTATCAGTTAAGAACCCCACCGGTGACCGAGTTCTCCGGGGCGTGGGACAGAAGTGGGTCGCCGGGGTCGCCTGGGAGATCAAGGCTCCGCAGAATGCCATAGCAGAGGCGCTTAGACACTGAAATGGCCCTGGTGCGTAGAGGTCTACGAGTCCTCACCAATTTCTACGAGTCAAGTGGGAAGACAAAGAAATCGGGTGAGGAGGGGCCACTAGAGAGGATCAGATTGAGGGCGGAGGAGATCTGGAGGCCCGCGTGGGGGGCATCATCGTGTCCGCCGCTGAGCCACAGTCGCAGAGACGACGCGTCCATCACCCGTTTTTCCCGAGCGAGTGGCGAGGGCTCGGCGAGGCGCAACGGTCGGTTAAAAAACATCCTTCCAGCCGGAAAGATATAATTTAAAGCGAGGTACACCCACATGAAAACAACTCAAAATATACCCTTTAGTAAAATATATTTGTTTATTTAGACTTATCTTGAAATAAAGTATTACTTCTATGCCATCGAAAATTTTCCTTTTAATGAGAAATAAAGTATTACTTCTTTTTTTTTAATTTTTATTTAATATTTTTTTCAACTCAGCACATTCTCAAAGTTACAAGAGAGAAATAGTCAACAACACATATAACTTAGGGCTAGATGCCTCACTAAAAACATAAAAAATCTAATTTATAAGTCAACCCCTATAGTTAAAGATGTTGAGGCTTGTCTAGGAAGCTTAATCAAGTCAAAGGGTCAACGCTTTTTGTGCAAGAAGTGATGACTTATTCATCCAAGAGTCTGCATTGGAATGCTTGGTCTCGACACTAAAAGGAGTAGACCAACTCCATAACTAGTGAAATCTACCAACATTTCATTTCAACATGTGTAGAACATGGGAAGATAGGGTTCAAAAAGTCAACGCTCCATAGAAAAAGATGTCAGCATTGGGAGCAGTGTACAAGATTTGGAAGTATGTTGACCCTTTGAAATTTATATTTATTGAATTCAGTGAAAAAGAGGTATAAAAAGTTGGAAAAATAATAATTTTTCTAGTTATAAGAGTTACAAGTTTCTACTACACCTAGTCAAAGATCTCTAATACAACAAGAGACCAAGCTCCCAACATGGTGCAATGTCTCAATCTAATCAAACTATGTATTTAATAATTTCCTATTCAATTTGAATGAGTTTTGAATTATTAAGTAAAACAAGTGTGTATAGTTGTAAAATGGGTTTGAGGCAAAATCTGTTGGAATACTCAAGAGAAGACTGGGACAATATGTTAAAGGTTGACTAAATTGAAATACGGCCCTTAAGTGTCAACTATCAAGAAAGTCAATTTTTATTATCCTCATAGTTGTGGATCACTTTCTAAATATAGCTTTTACCATTGACCTATTAAATAGTCAACGGCCACCAGCCCCTTCATCATAGCTTTGGCACATACATAGAACTTTTAAACATCCCCAAAAGCATTACCTTCATTCATTTTACAAAGTTTGAGAAATTGAGCGGTTGGCACAATATGCTATGGGATTTTGTTGATATTAATGCTGATCTAAGTACAGAATATTTTTTAAAAATTATTATCCTCATGGTTGGATCATTTTATAGAGTTAGTTGTTACCGTTGACCTGTTAAATAGTCAACGGCCACCAACCCTTCATCATTGCTTTAGTACATACATGAAACTCTTAAACATCCCCAAAAACTTTGAGAATGAGCAGTTGGTGCAATGTGCTATGGAATTTCGATGATATTAATGATAATCTAAGTACAAAATATTGAAGTAATTAATTAGAATTGAACTCAGTTGATGATGGAGGCAGGTTCCTCATATTTAGGCAGTAATTATGACCTAGAAAATCATTCTTAGTAGTCACCTGTTTGTTCCTATAGATATCAATGAGGCCAAATACCACTAAATCCTGACGAGTATGCTTGATATAGAGTTCATATCCGGTCAACATACCCCGATTTGGCATGATGATTGTCCACTGGATACAAAGCTCTCCTTTTACTTCATTTACTCTATAATGAAGAAAACCCTTTGAATTCCCGCCAGAACTGAAGATTACATCTTTAGACGCCTTGCATCCTCTCAAATTTATCAGCATCGAGGTGCCCAGCTGAGATGGGAAACCCTCAGGAGCAGGGTGTTCATCAGATGAGCTCCAAGGTGACGCTTCTGAGGATTTTTTTTATTTTTTTTTTCTTGGGGGTGGAAGGGAGGGGACCTGAGACCAGCCCCCACCTTCGGAATGGCTGTGGATTGATACCAGGAGTGGCTATTTTGAGAACCAGTAGATGATGAGGAAGAGGGTGCATCCAGCGATGACAGCTGAGAGGATGAGCGTGTCCCTGGATCGCTTCCTCTTGATTGCTCCTAAAAAAGAGAAGAAACAAATTAATATTGCCTTCTCTATAAATAAAAAACAGAGAGATAGAGAGAGAGGAGCAGATAAGCTAATTCAATTTTGAGAACATCGGTACATATGAATCATTGGCAGGGAGAGAAATTAATATTATCTTCTCTATAAATAACAAACACAGAGAGAGAGAGAGAGAGAGAGAGAGAGAGCAGACAAGTTAATTCAATTTTGAGAACATCAATACATATGAATCATTGACAGGGAGCATGAATAAAAATATAGGGGAATATTAATTGCTATAGCATATTCAGTGAGATATTCTGGTGAGCAAAAGCTGAAAGGAACCTATTAAAAAAATTGATCAATTAAACTATAGGTCTCCCATTAATAATCATGCAATGCGATAGTGAATACTCAAATGTTTCAGTGAATTAATATTTAAAACCTGAAAAAAAAAGGGCAAACCATATCACCATTATAAACAGATCCGAGCCCAAGCATCATTAATGGGGAACTATAAGCGAAAATGAGGTGCTACATCATATTTAGGAACATATTTATTGCTAATTCGGGATAGTATGGGGCCCAAAACCCTAAAAAAGCAATCAATCAATCAATACATGGATGAATCTTTCATCAACAACTGTGAAAGGAGATGGTGGATTAATGTCAATTACCCAGCAGATTGCGAATCACAGGGAATTTGTCACCCAGTTGCTTGACTTTCCCCTGGATCTCAGTAAAGGCATTTCGTTGGGCTGCCAATGACCCCTTTACTGATTCCGCTTGACTAGTCACTTCGTCAATCTGCAAAATGCATTGTGCCCGCTGCTTAATCTTTACCATGCATTCTTAAAGTAGTGTAAGCTTTCCAGGGTATATACGTCACCTGCCCAATGCTCGCATGAATGGCTGCCCGCTCCCTTAGTGAATTCGGAACTGACTGCAAGTTACCAGATGCCTGTGATGGCGAAACCCATCAATGAAGGTGAAGAGATATGTTTTGGAAAAATAAGTGAGGGTTTTTGATAAATATGCCCTTCTTACCTTGTATTCATTGATGTCATTGCGTACGGAAGTAAGGAGTTCGGCATGGTCTCTCATTGACATGATGTTACCCTTGATTCGCCTGAATTCCTATTGAGCATTAAAGAGGAAACTATAAAAAAGTCAACGGTAAAATGAGAGAATAATAACACATGAGGAGATGACTTTTGGAGAAGAAAGGTAAATGCTAAGTCATCGTGCCAGAAATAACAAAATAAATTCTACAGATCATAGGAGTCGAATGTTGAAAATTTTAGGCCATAATCTTCATGAAAGCATAGTGATGAGATGCAGACATATTTCCAGTGGGGAGGAAAACCAAGTAGTATTAGATCATTCCCATTCCGATGATCTTCAGTGTATTGTTTCACTCTTGATGCCTGTGATCAGATTTTTCTAATTTCATCTACAGGCTTATACACACATAAACTATGGCACAGTATGTAGATTTTGCATAAAAAATGATTACATAAATCATCAATGAACATATTAGGTAAAATATGTTTCTGGCTAACGCAATGATCTTATAACTGAAGTGTGCTCCGAAGATGGGTGTAGACTTGGCTTGGAGTTCTGGGTGGGCCTCAAGTCAAACAAAAACTTACTAAGCTGCTGGTTATAAGGTTACGTGTTGCTATTTTCCTATCTTAAAGCACCTAACACAAAATTCAACATTCATAGAAAAAGTTATCCATCTTAAGCTGTCATAAAAAACATAAAAAATGTCCATAAAATTAAAATACATAAAAAAGGAATCACACCCTCCAAGTCTAGGCTGAAGAGAAATTATCAGTGACATATAAATATAATTTCAGGGAAAACTACGTAAAAAGACTATCAATTTTGGAGACTCGGCCCGATAAAATCTTCCCCCAAAGTCAACTCCTGGATATCTGGTCTCCAAAATTTTCCTTAAATTTCTTGTGATCAGTATCGGACTAGTAAAACAGAGGAACTATTTTCCTTTCATCAGCTGGGTTATAATTGCAATAATTCACCATCTATGTGATCCATCAGCGATCCACCTAGTGAAAGTGCCCAAGATCCAGAAAAAGGGCATCAAAAGCTTGACTAATTTCAGCAAAATCCAACTAGTGAAGCTTATAATTCTTCTTCTTTTTTCAATCCCCTGAGGAATTTAATTTTTATTTTTTTCACTGGTCGTAAGAATACCATGGTCTTCGATCTTGCTTGAGATGACCCGCAGAAAATGAACACTATCCAGATCTTTTTTTCAGTAAGTTTCGAAGTTGCAGAGATATACTTCACTGAGTATAAATTTAGGATCAAAATCAACCAGAAGCAGCGCCTATTGCTGGTTCTAGTTGGTGGTGGCGTTGAAGACAAGGAGAAAGGGATAAAAAGATCTCAAGTTTTTGGGAACAGATCTGGGTAATTCCCTATCTGTGACTGCCAGTATCATCGGAACAGAGTTATTTCAGAAGGGTTGGACAAATCTTCTGACCTGGCTGAACTCGTGGAGGATGTCACGGTGCCTAGTGAGCTTCTGCGAGACGGAGAGCGCGGGCGCCGCCGCAGCCGCCACGCATCGGCTCATGGATTCGTTCACGTCGAGGAGCTTCTCCAGGAGCAACTCAATCTCCATCTCCACCGATTTCCACTGCTGCCCGCTGCCGTGGAGTTGTTCTCCCGCCCCCGCCGACCTCAGGTCCGAGTACCCTTGAGAGAGACAGGAAGATCTCCCTGGATCAGCGGGGCCTGAAAGAAGATCAGATCAGGGAAGTGGGCGGAGAGAGAACCTCGCCCCGGGGAGCTTCCGAGCTTGGCGTAGGCAGAAAGGCGGACATCGAGGTCTCCCTCGAGCCGGCGGGCTTCTCTCCTCAGCTCGTCCCACTGGGAGAGCTCGGTGACGACTGACGGAGCCGAGACAGTCGCCATTTCTCCCTCCTTCGTCATCGTGAGGGTTTCCCGCGTCTCCTCCTCCGCAGCGCCTTCGCCCGCCGCCGCCGCCAGCGAGAGAGAGAGAGAAGAGAGAGAGAGAGGTGAACTTCTGGTGAAGATCCGACGATCGAAGGGGGAGCTCAGCGCAGCTCGGTCCCCCCACACGGCGACAGAAGTGAACCTGCTGCTCCGTTGACCGAAAGCGGTGGAATCCGAGGGGTCTTAAAGTTGTTCCGCGTGAAGGTCGTCAAGAATGAAATCAAAGACGCCTTCGTTTGGATTGACAAAAATGGCGTCAAGCGGTCGGGTAGACCTCCCAATCCAGAATTTTTACTTCCGTGTTGACTCCTTGTTATGCAGGCATCCTCGTCTTCCTCACAAATTCTCACCAGCAAGATTCACGCCAAACCATCGTACCTTCCCTCTGTCGCCAAGCAAGAGAGAGAGAGAGAGAGCAGGCATGGGAGAAGTAAGCGCGAGGGTGGTAGCAAAAGGGGGAGAGAGAGAGAGTGAGCGAGTGAGTATGGGGGAGAGACAATGACAACGAGAGAGAGAGAGAGAGAGAGAGAGAGAGAGAGAGAGAGTGACTATGAGAGAACTAAGTGAGAGAGAGAAAGAGATGGATTATTGAGCTTAATAACGAATTATTCTGAAATGAATGAAACACAAAATTGAAGTTGGATGTGAGGTCATTGCTTGACTTTTTTAGTTTCATTTTGACAACATTTAAGAGTATGAACAACATGAATTAAACAAAAATACTTTTTAATAATGATTTTGGATCAAACCCTATATCATATAGTTGTTAATTTAGTATTCATATTAGTTCTTAATCTTCATAATTTAGAATGGCTAGTTTAGTTGACTCCAATATTAGTCATTAGTTTTATTGACCAATATTAAAATCATAATGCTTTTATTGACTGTGAGTTAACTATATTAGTCATTATGTTTTCTAAGTTAAAATATTCAATTAGAATCTCAATTAAAAGGTTAAATTAGGAAAAATTAAAATATTTAATGTGCATAAATTCATAATGCTTTTTATTGACCAAGAGTTAAATATATAAGTCATTAGTTTTTCTGAATTAAAATCTTCAATTAGAATGCTAAATTAAAATGTTAAATTAGTAAATGTTAAAATATTCAATGTACACATTTTCAATCAGCCTGGTACAAGTATTGAAGTCACAAAACTATATTATTGAGATGTTATTACGACCAAATTGATCATCCTACTTAGGGCAAATCATTTTCAAGAAATTGAATTGAGAAAGAGTCTCATACTTTAAACAATATGAATAAATCAAACACTAGATCAATCAAATAATTTTAGACCTAGATTTTTGTCAAGTATTCAGACACAATACAACAAACTACACAAGTATACTCCATGAAGATATATTTGAAAAAAAACATGATGAAATAAATGATGCATAAAAATCTGAAAGTTTTGATTTTTTATGAATTTAACAAGATTAACTTGTATTTTATAAATTTTAAATTTATGCACTCATGTCATAGAAAATACTTTAATTTTCAATCATTCTAAACAATAATTGTATTGGTTAGATAGGATACCAAGATAGGGAGTGAATTATTTTTTAAAAGTGGTATCTCTCTTTTACATGTTTTAATCTATTTGATTTAGATGATAAAAAATTTATTTATGACACATGCACATGAATTTACAGTGGCTCTACTTGCCCAAGCCTACATTCATATCCCAAGGATTATCTCCTAAGATTTCACTATTTACTCTCTATGAGTAAAGCCAATTAAATTGAAATCATTAACCCTTTTAAAAAACTTTGATATAATCTAAATATTAGCAACCTTTTCTCAACCATGTTGCAGACACATTATAGGTGACTCAAGTAAAAGGAACAATCAATACAACTCAATAACTTTGAGGAAGATTAGTAATGCCTTCAAGAGGCTGATGAGAAGATGAGCTGCTTAAGATTTCTCATAAACAAATGAGCTCTAATTTCTTAGATCTTCAACTATAGGCAAAGGAAGATGACATCATCAAATGTCAGTCACCCATGATTGCTTGTTGTGATTTCGTGCCTCAACTTGGGTGAAACATTTCTTTTTATATTTGGGCCTAATGGGCCGAAATATAATTGGATTGTACTGCATCTTGAGCGTCAGTGACTTTTTCGTATGAATTTGAGACTTTGGGAGCTAATGGTATCATATTATTTGACCATGCCTTTGGGCTTGAGTGGGCTGCATCTAAGTGGGATACACCTCTGAGCTGTGAAGGGCTTTGCCTAAAATGGGTCACAATCCTTTGAATGCTAATGGGTCACACCTGAGCAAATATATTTTTATGTGTATTACACAAAAATATACTTTTAGACTTTGTAAAATTGATGTCAAATCAGAAACTTGATATTTTGATAATTTATTTGATGCATTGATTTACTCCTCTTTCAGCTTTCTAATGAAATACTAAGAGCTCATATTGTAATTGAATTTTACCAAAGAGAGGCTTTATTCATCATATGAAATTATAACAATTTATCAATATACATTAAATCAATTTATGCAATATTCATGATAAATCATGAAATATCAGCCATAATTCAGAACTTGATGTTACATCATAAATGGCTCTTTAATGATTCTTTGATCCTCAAGCTATTGTCATCAATTTCATAAATTTGGCTTAATTGAATTTATTGAAATATCTTTCAGATCATTAAAATAGTATAAGTTCTTAAATCCAACAAGAATAGTTTGAATCAACATAACCTAAGTTGAGTCAACACACTAGTTTAACACACTAAGTTAATCTACGTGAGTTGAGACACCAAGTCAACATAGTAAGTAAAATGAATACAATTTGACCTTAGATTACTTATATCTATTTACCAAGGGTCACTACTATTGATATCTACTTATATCTATTTACCAAGGGTCTCTTATATCTATTTAACATGATAGTTTTGGTGGGTTTATTAGTTATACTAGACACTAGGACTCTAGCTTAGTTTTATTTCCATTGTTATTAACACTTTGCAGAATGACTTTACATAAGCATGTTAATAGTAAAGTATCAAAACAATCTTAAGGCTGAGAAGATGATCTCCCTTAATTTTGGGGGTGATTGAATACTTAGAGAAGGTTAGCAAAGTTGCTCTTAAAATATTTCTTTTATTTTATAGCTCAAAAATTTTCCATTAGAATTAAATATCTAAGATTTGACTGGTCAAAGTTTATACAAGTCAACATTTGGGTTATCCTGTTGATGTCAAGAAGTTGGTGTAAAAATGTTATAGTATGTGATTTTATGATTTTTTTTATTGATCTTCTCACTTTTCAAGATACTTTGCCCTAAATAGAGACTTTTTGACAAAGGCAATTTTCTATAGTAGATATTTTTTTGTCATTTATTGTGTAAAAGTCTTATCTAGAGAAGATATTAATTATAAAATTATTTTTTCAGCGCTAGGAAAGAGGGATGGAAATTTTAACTGTATTTATTAGCTCAATAATAGACCATTCTTTCTAAAACTATTTTGCGTTTAATGTTTCTAACCTCTAGAAATTAGATGAACATCATAAAACCATAAATTTAAAAAATTATCACCTTTCTCCTATTATTCGACCACATATGGAAATAGTAAGGATGGGTTATACGATTGGTATTTGATATGCCTACCAAAGGAATCAAATTCAAAAGGTTCTTCTATAATTTAAATTATTGATTATATTTCTTGTAAAAATACAAGTCCACATAATATCATACATAAAAAATGTAAACTGGAATTTGGATGATTATTCAAAAAAATATCTTAAAAATTTTAATATTATTATAGAATAAGATTATTCTCTCATTAACCGGTAGAAAGCATTGAACTAAATAAATTGCATTTTTTATTACCGCCAAAAACCTATGCTCGTGGAAAAGAAAAATAAGATGGCAATGCTTTAAACCATTTGATGAAAAAAAATTATATTTTTCAATAATTATCGACATGATACATTGACTGATGGATGATGTTTTGGCTTGCATAAGCGCAAAATCACAAAATATATCTCAAGCAGTTGAAATATGGGAAAAGAGCACCATCGACAGAGTGGCAGTGGGGCCTCCCTTCAGGCGTCCATGAAGCGCATAAATGAGAAGGCGACCGACGGCGACGGCGCCACCGTCCTCTTCCCCTCCGGCGTGGGCAGCCGAGCCTTTCACTCTGCAGATAGTAAGGTGCGGCGGGGACATCGGGTCCCCCCCAGTTCTAATCCCCACGAGACGACCGGCGATCCCTCCTCGCAGACCTTTTCCCGGTACACGCCGGGCAGTAAGGTGCGGCGGGAGTAGCTCCGCCCCGACAGGGACCATTTACAGTCGATATCTTATCCCGGTACACGCCGTTGACGGAGGACTACCGAGTAGATCGACAGCCGCGCCCCTCGAAAACGAGAGGAGCTCATCTACAAGGCCGGAGTTGAGTCGACTACCACCTCCTCCTCCACCGCAGTCCCCGCCGGCGATGAACGCTGACATTTCTGTCCCCGGGCAGCAGGCTGGTCATCGCCGCCACCGCCGCCCCTGCTCCGTTGCCTTTGCTGCGGCTCCCCCGCCACCAGTCCCGGCGATATTTTCCCGCGACGGCAACGTGCGGCCCGAAACCGCGGCCACGGGATCCCACAGATTCACATTTCCGGAATAAACAACACCGATAATAATAATAATAATAATAATAATAATAATAATTGTCCCATGTCTCTAAAAAATGTAAAATTAATTTTATCCTTCAGAAGAAAATTACCGAGATCGCCGAACACAGCACGAAATAAATAATTAGATATTTATAATATCTAAAATACCGTTTTAATCGATAAAAATGAGCGCCCTTTTTCAACTGGGGAACATCAACGGGGATCGTGGTATCTAATCGATTCCCTCGGACAGACAGAGGAGGCTGGGTGTTGACCGGTCCAAGCTTTTCGTGCTTGGTCAGCGGGTGATGTCATTTTCCAAAAATGTCGATGACGTAGTGGATGACACTATCGCTGATAAGTCTAGAAACCTGGGCGGACATTTTCTTTAAGTCGAGTTGACGTTTGAGCTCGTGAGGATACGTAGGGCCCATCAAGATGCGGCAGACCCATTTCCTTTAATGCGCCTAGCCTACGGTGGTAAATACTTCATATTCCTCTTATTCTCTCTCCATCTCTCTCTATCTCTATCTCTTGATGTGCCTCACTCTCTATCTAGATCCCTCACAAAGAAGTTCCTACACTCACTCTAGTGCGGAAGCCAAGATTCTCTCTCTCTCTCTCTCTCTCTCTATCTCTCTCTATCTCTATCTCTCTATCTCTATCTTTTGATGTGTCTCAATCTCTGTCTAGATCCCTCACAAAGAAGTTCCTACACTCACTCTAGTGTGGAAGCCAAGCTTCTCTCTCTCTCTCTCTCTCAGTAGGAGGAGTGGGAGCATAAAGGAGCAAGTTCTCGGGTGGAAGATGGGTGACTTGCGTGGGGTGACGACGCATTTTACGTATTTTCAAACATCGGAGATTATTTATTAAATAATGGATTTGGAAAATTACTCTCTCTCTCTGCTTCTCTCTCTCCGGATATCGTTATCTTCGGAGTCAAGGGAGAAGGAATCCATGAACAAACGGCGGTGACGTCCATCTTCTTCTCTCGAAAGAGTTAGCGTGAATGATAGAGGACGGGTGGAAGGATTCCTGAAGACTTCTCCATGGATTCATCGTTCTCCTCGGCATTATATACATTGGACGTGAGAGCTTCCAGGATAGTAAGAAGCCGCACCTTCACCTTCTCGATCAAATCGGAATCAGAGATCCACAGAGGGTGGGTGGATAAAAAGGGGGAAGGAAGAATCCTAGCCATGAAAGGGCGGGCATCGTCATGCTCGGAAGCAGCCGACGAGGTTGTGGTGGCGGTGGATGCCGCCGCCGTGGTGAGGAGAGACGATGGCGGTCTCGCGGTCGATCTGGCCCTGGACGGAGCGGAACTCGACGGTGCAGCAGGGGATGGCGATGGCGCCCTTGTGGTCGAAGCCATACTCCTCCTCGGCTTCTTTCAGCAGGCGCTGGAACAGCGGATGGCTCAGGTAGTCCACCGGCACGATGAACCGCTGCTTCTCCTCCCCCTCCCGCCCCACCATCACCGCAAGGCATCCCTTCGGTATGTTTGGCAACTGGTGGTGGTGCTCCTTTTTGCCCCCACCGCCGCCGCGGAGGTGGTGGCGGAGGTTGTTGAGCAGGGGCCTGTCGCCGGTCCCCATGGTGCCGAGGAGGGAGAACAAAAAGCCAGGAAAGAGAGAGATAAACGGGAAGAGAGAGAGTCTACACCCGCCGCTAGAGGAAGACACAGCCGAAGAAGGAGGATGTCCAGGCATCGGAGAGGAGGCTCAGAGAGCCTTCGCAGAGGCGTCAGGGGAGGCTGGACATGGCCGATCGACAACTTCACATATCCACCAAGGAAAAATAAAATCAGAGATGGAGCGAATCCCCTCTGGTTCCAAAACTCCGATGAACTAGAGAGAGAGGGAGAGAGAGATTGGAGACGCGCCTAAGGCGGCGAAGATGCGGCGGCCCCGGTTTCCAACGGGTAGGAGCCTCCGTATCGGCACAACTGACCACCACCACTACGCGTTTATATATGATTAGGGGGCGAGGATGTCTCCACACGTGTCAACTCCGACCGCTCGACGCCCCCGTCCTCTTGCCCGGCCCCGGGTCCAGGCCGCCTAAGACAAATTACCATTAAATAATATTAAATTACTTAAATTAAATGCCTTCTATTTCCATTTTTAATTAGTTTATTAAAATAATAATTGGTCCAGGAACATTCCTACTTTTTCTGCGCCCGGAAACGGATGGGCCCCACTACTGCGTGGCGCTCTGACTCAACTTTTTTCTTATTTTAAATATATACAAATATATTTTTTCATATTTCTGTAAATATTCTTGTCGAATCGGTCCGAAGCCGGACCCCGTTTTTGGGCCTCCGGTTCTAAAATCTTAAGCCCATTTCAGGGCTCCGTTTCCCCGTATTTGGGCCGGCCGGGGTTTTTTTCCAAACATCGGCCTCATCTTGTTCTGAAGAAGCCCAGAGACGGCAAAGGTGAAACTGGTCAATAAGTTATTTTATTTTATTTTTTGAAGGAACGCTATTACTTTATTTTTCTTGGATGGTTTTTAAGTTCAAATTAAAATTAAATCACTCACTAATTTATTAATGGACTCGATGAACCTGAAGATCATCAGCCCAATAAGGCCAATTTGAGGGGCCCACTCTCTCTCTCTCTCTCAAAACTCCGAAGAAGGGATCTGACATCGCCTAGGCTGACTACATTATCATTTGGTCTGGAAATATTGATTACTATTCAGAGAGATGAAAAAAATAAAATATCACTTTTTTAAAAAAAACTAAATTAATATTTAGTGAGAATTTTTTTTCTTTCTAGAATTTAGCTTTTATCTGAAAGGATTTCCCATAAAAGTATGAAATTTTTTGATAGAAGCTTATGGGCATTCGGGGTTGACTTGGGGGGAAACTTTCCTCACCCCCTGGATATATTGATGATGAGTGTGATATGGTAGGACCCAACGGATCAAAACCTCAAGATCTACAACAGATCTTGAATTCAGTTTTCAAACATTTCAAACAATTTTGTCATGGTATTTAAAACGTTCTCATCTACGCATAGTTATCATCGTTTTTTAATATTTAGATTTTTCAAATCATTAATTAGAAAATCTGCATGTCATTTTCATATTGGAATAGTGTTGAGTCTTCTTCTTCTTCTTCTTCTAAAACTCCGATTGGTAACAGCGATATTTGTTCTCCCCATTGATTGGAGCTGCCGGCCTCTGAACCACCACCCTTAACCCCAACCATCCCGTTGCTGGGGACTTGATGGGTCTGATTGGCGCGCACTGCGCTCCCCTGAGCAGTGTTTCTCTCTCTATATAAAGCTGTCCCAAGCGTTTCTATAATGTCTGGAGCTCTCCCCTGCTGTCCTCTTTTCTTCACACCCGAACCAGATCACCCACGCCACATCTTCATTTCTTCTCTTTCTGCTGCCATGGCTACCACGAAGACTCAAGCCAAGACAGCATTCCTCCTGTTGAATCTAGTCTTCTTCACGTTCGCCTCTGGGCAACTGCTGAACCTTCCTGGCCTCAGGTGCGTCAACGAGACCCAGAAACTAGCCGACTGTGCCCTTCTGCTCCACAGTATCGGATTCGATCCCGTTCGTCCCCTTAATTCCCGCCTTCGCCCCTGTTGCTCTCTTTTGATGAATCTTACGAGTGCGGATGCGTCCCTGTGCCTCTGCGTCGCGGCAAAGCTTAACCTGCTTGGTCCCAACATCAGCGTCCCTGTTGACATCCTTCTGATACTGCGTATCTGCGGCAAGCCGGTGCCCTCCGACTTGCCTTGTACATAATTTCCAGCGGCACAGTGCCTGCTGGCCGCCTTGTGAAGTATCCCTGCAGTGGTTTCGGTGTGGTCTACGGCTTGTCTTGTTTCCACAGCAGTAATGTAGCGTCAGCCGTCGGCTGTGTGGGTGAGGGAGAGACCTTGTTCGCCTCCGCGCTGTTTCCGGTGCAATGGGCCTGAAACTATCCCCCCCCTCCCCGTCCCCCTCCTTTGTCTGGGTCAATCATGGTGCATGTTGATGTTTTAGCGCTAAAGCCAATACTCTGCCCCTCTCTTTTGGTCGTCTTGGCTAAAAAGCCTCACTTTTGTTTATTTATGTTAGGCTAAAAAGTATGGATGCCGCTGATGTATGTGGGAGATTTCTTCACATGTTTTGTTTTACATTGGAAGAACATATATGAAATATACGTTTTACCTACTGGAAAAATAGAGTGGTTCATTGGGCCATGTGAGTTTTCCCTAATAATTATATCCAATCTCTTTAGTCAATTTAGTTCTTAATATAGGATCATTCAAAGTGAGGTTTCTTTGTTATTGGGATATGTGAATTCTTATGGATGCGGAATTTGTGGTGGGGGGAAAGGGTTATTTTATGTTGAGGGATCTAATGTTGATGAGTGAATGTGTGGATCAATTTGGGGTAAAATATTTGAATGTCTCTTAATAGAGATCCATTTATTATTATCAAAAGTAGTATAATCCCATATTAATTAGAGTGGTTTTGTCAATGTGATTACTCCCATTTAGGATGATGGAAGTTCATCGAGTAAGATCATCATAAAATTCATAGGAAGTTAAAATAAAATACTTAAATTTTAATATACTACTTTTTATTTTGTGTTCTACTTTCAACTATCTTTCCAATAAACAATATAGCTCTATTCTATTGACATCAGCTTACACATCAAAAAATACATTTATCATTTGCAATATGTATGTTGATGATTTAACTCTTCAGTCCTTTTGAGTTTATTTATCTTAATTAATTTAAAGTGATTAATAGCATCAGCAACAGAAATATTGCAATGTAGAGTATATGATTTTACCCTTTGTCATAATTATAACATTGAGCTCTTCCAACACCTTCAAGTAGCAATATACATTTTAATTTCTAGTCCCATATGGTCAAAATTTTCTTCAACTACATGCCTAGTGGATTTGAGAAAATTTATTGATAGTCCCAGCATTCAAATATGAAAATTTCCTTTCTTTGTTATGAGAAAATTTGTGGATTTGCTCGAGATCATGAAAACTTTTTGTTATGATGTTCCAAGAACTGTAATTATGAATTTGAATAGAAATTATCATCTAGGTTAGTAATAGAGATCTGTGTGTGGAATATCCTTACAAATTTAGTTACCATGGATTTGATTCTCAAGGACAAGAAGTTCTTACTGATCACTCTACTTATATTCTCTGTATTAATCTTTTGAGAGAAGGAGAATCAGACTTTTTTTTTGGTTAAAAGTATCAATCTCTGTCTCAGTGGAACAAGCAATAGTTTCAAAGGAACAATCTTGAGATAATCATTCTCACAGAACCAAATCTTTAACTAGAAAGTCATCCTCCACCGATGGGATGAAGCAGAAATATCTTGTATGGAGAGGAACAAAACATAATCCATGACAAATGAATTCTGTACCTCTGCTCATTTGGCCTTACAATCATCTGAAAAATCAGTTCTTGGGAAAACCTTGGCACACAGAAGAAAAAGAAAGTAGTTTGGCAAATCCAAGTAGAATAACACAGTGGATTATTATTTATCTCCCAAATAATAGTGTGGAATCCTTCATTATTTATCTCAATTTACTTCAAGTTTAATTCTGAGATATTAAGTCGATTTATAGGCTATGTTCCCAGGTTTTTGTTCGGATTTGGGCCAATTTAATCTTATCCAATCCACTGAAAGCGAGTTCTCTCGAGTCAAAAATACTTGTTACACGTTGAAAATTTTCCCAAAACTTATGAGGTTATTTCTGCTCATGGAAATTTATAGAACAGATCATGAATTCAGCTTTAAAATCATAGATTTAAAATGATTTCACTGGTTCATGTAATGTTCAGAATTTTCAAGCCATTAATTAGAAAATCGACATGTCATTTTCAAAACAGGATAGTGTTGAATTTTCTTTCAAAACTTTAATTCAAAGGAGGTATGTTTCCTCTTCCCATTAATTGGAGCTGCCAGTTTCTGAGCTATGACCTGCCAGCCTTCCAATTACTAGTGACTTGATGGGTCCGATTGGCAATGCACTCCCTTCAGCTGTGTTTCTCTCTATATGTAGCATCCCAAGAGTTTCAAGCTCTCACCTCCTGTCCTCTTGTCCTCATGCTAGAACAAAATCCCCCACACATCTTGACTTGTTCCCATTGTGGTGCTATGGCCATGAAGACTCAAGCCAATGCAGCATTCCTCCATTTGAATCTATTTTTCTGCACGTTTACCTCTGGGCAACTGCTGAACCTTCTTGGCTTCAGGTGCGTCAATGAGACTGAGAAACTAGCTGACTGTGGTTTTCTGGTCCATAGTATCGGACTTGGTCCATTTCAACCCTTTCATTCCCCCCTTCACCCCTGTTGCTCTCGTTTGATGAATCTTATTAGTCCTCTTCAATGCAGCAAGGTGTAACCTGCTTGGTCCCAACATCAGCATCCCTAGTGACATCTGTAAGATACTAAGTATCTCTAGCAAGCTAGTGCTGTCCAACTTGCCTTGTACATAATTTCCAATGGCACAGTGCTTGCTGGTGTAGTCTCCCTTGCATCCTGGGCTGCCTTATGGTGTATCCCTACTGTGGTTTTAGTGTGGTCTTGTCTTGTTTCCACAGCACTACTTTAGTGTCGGCTGTCCACTATGTGGGTGAGGGAGAGGCCTTGTTCGCCTCCATCCTTATTCCAATGCAATCAGACTAGAATTGTCATCCCCTCCCCCTCCCTCTCTCAACAACGCAGGTCATTGGTTGGAGTAGACTTTGGTTAATTGACATGATTTAATCATTGTATAATGAACCATGTAAATTTAAAATTTATAAAATTAAAAAAAATATGAATTTTAATTTTTAAAAAATATTTTAGTATGATTATAATATTGATAATTTGATAAAAGGCTCCAAGAATAATGAAAAATTTTCAAGTCAATCAAAAGGATGTATGATAATATCAAGTTTCAAAACTTTTCTGAAAGAATATGATGTTTTATGATTTTTAGACTATATGATGAAGATACAATATATTTACAAATTCATACAAAAGAAAAATTCAGGTTCAGACATTAAGATGACGTCAATACCCCAATAAATATGATTCAAATGGAAATAAAGTTTTACTTAGTATTTTTAACATAAATAATTATAGATGATTTAATTGATCGAATTAATATCTATAAAAGTTAGAAGAATTATAATTGAATAGAAAAGAGTTTCTAAACTTTAAAATCACACAAAAGATCATCAATTTTAATAAACATTAAGTTTTAAATAATAAAGGTAAAGTTCCGACATCATGAGTATTTAGGAGGATTGTGGGGTGATGTCTATGCCCTCAAAACTTCTCCTTAGACATGGATAACATGGGTAATCTCTATATCTTTTTGCAAACTCTAGAAACTGATAAAATGAGTTGAAAAATATCTTTGGCAGTTGTCACTTGATGGAGTTAAAATTCAAATGACTTTTGAATTTTGAATAGTTGTCTTAGCAAAGATAAGCTAAATGGAGATGGGTGTTTGTCTTAGAAAGTTTCATCTTCAAGTTCACATAGCAAGAAGAAGCTCTTCATCACATGTAGTGCACTCTAAGGAGGTGGAGACTCATCTCCTAGTGGAGAAGAGTGGTTTTGTCTATGTTACTTCATTTTAGGTTGATGAAAATTTATATAGTAAGATTATCATTAAAATGCTATATAGTTTAAGTGATAAGAATGACATAGAAGCATTTAAATAGTCAACTTTATGGTTCCTTTCATTTGGTTTCATTATAAATGGTTCAAGATTAACTATGTTTGAAGTCATAATTTAATGGAAATGAAAAATTTAGTATTTTATTACCTCATGAAAGCTTATGTCCTACGGAATTGAATATGTGAAAGTATATGTTAAAGAATCCTTCAAAGCAATGTTATTTGAGAAGCACAAATATGAGAAACAGTGGTAGGATATATACAAATTCTCAAAGATTTCATTGGAAGTCTGATAATCAGATTAGTGTGATCAAATGGGTGAATGGATTTGTCTGCAAATATGGAGTATTTAGAACATATTATAGACCATTGCTTGTGGGATAAATAATTTTCTCGTCAATATATATAGTAAGGCAAAGTTAAGGGTGATGTCGTATTAAAATTTTCTCACTAAAATATGATATATTTCATGCGGATTGGAGATCTGATCTAACCATCTAGCTTTCTTAAGGATATATGAACATCTAAGATTGTGTATAACTAATTTTTCATGGACAATATTAATAAAAAATGTTTTTCAGTTTATAAGTGGCGGCATGATGTCACAAAGGTAGAGTCAAATAGATATTTTTTCTTTGCTGAAAAAATTTAATTTTCTAAAGAATAATCATGACCAACTTAATTAAATACTAAAGTTATAATTTTTTGTCTTCTTGACCTATAAGTTCTCCAAGGACTCTGTCCTTGCATTCCTATAAACCTTGATGTTTAAATTTTAAGTTTTCGATTTAGTAATTAATTGGAATTCACAACTCTAAGAACTTGAGATTTCTCAAATCCCTTTATAGATTCTATGAATCTAGGTGGTCACAAATAGTAAAGATCCTTATTGTATCTTCTATATTCCATAAGTCTAAGAAGTTAAACAATAGAATCTCCCCACTTTACCTTTCTTGGATTTCATGTTCTAAGGAAACTTTATCTCCCAGAATTTATGTCAACAAAATGAAATAAAAGTACCCAATCATTATCAATCAGACAACATTGTTGACCTCATTTGTGTTGACTTTATCCAAATAGTATATAGTGAATTGATGTAGACTTGAGCAT